CATTATGTTTATTATGTTTATTTCATTTAACATTTATTACTTGTGTGTGTGTGCGTGCGTGCGTGCGTGCGTGCGTGCGTGCGTGCGTGCGTGCGTGTGTGTGTGTGTGTGTGTGTGTGTGTGTGTGTAAGAGAGAGAGAAGAAAGAGAAATGTCTGTGAGTATGAACATGCACATGCTGTGACACATGAGAATAACTTTCAGGGCTCAGATCCTTCTTTCCACTGTGCTTTTGGGGATGAAACTCAAGTCATTAGGCTTGCAAAACAATCACTTTTACCTACTGAGCCATTTTGCAGAATCTAATTTTGTCAGCTGCATACTCTATCTTCCTGCTAAGACCAGTGGTGAGGTTTCAGTGATGTGCCCAGATGTGTTACCAGTGTCTGGGTACATGCTCTGTCTTCCTTCTGGGACAAGTAGTGAGGTCTTTGTGATGTTCCCAGATGTGTCCCCAGAGGTTGAGTAAGGAAGTGTAGCAGGAGCACTGAAGTCAGGAAGTCAGGCCTATCCATTGTTTGTTGTTTCACACCCCACCCTCACAGTCCCAAAGGTTTGCTCATTGTTAGAGTCATGAGTGCTCAAGGCAGGCCCCAGCATCATGTACTGATGACATGCAAGGCAGGCCTTAGCATCACGATATGGGTCTGATATTAGCACTGCTAATTAGTTTTGAGATATTAGCACTGCTGATATGGGTCACCTTCAGATCTGCCACTAGTGGACTGGGTTCCTGCTGTAGGAAGACACTTCATGGGAGCAGTGTGTGTGTGTGTGTGTGTGTGTGTGTGTGCGCGCACACGCGAGCGCGCTTAGAGAAGCCTACTGTTCCCACTTAGTCCAGGATGAGCCACCACCCATCTGTGGAAGAGGAAGGACACACCTGTATCCCTTTGCCCTACAGAACTTTGTTTGTTAAACAAGCACAGGACTCTGACTCTGCCTTCCTGTGGGTAGTTCTCTCTCTTGGTTTTCACCAGTTTCCAAGGCTGATGCTTGACCTGGGTCACAACTCAGTTTTACAGTTCATTCCTTGACAATGGAAGCTGCCCACCTGTATGTGTGGCTTACTAAGTGTCAGTCACTGGGTGTGTTTTCACTCAATCTGAAAAAAACCTCTGTGGTGATATCACTTTTATTGTGGGAGGGAATGGCTACCACTCAGTCACGTGGCCTTTGACTCAACAGTCTCTTGGCTGGAGGCTGCACCCTTACCTAGGAGATATGTAGGTGCTGTATTTTCACTTTTCCAAATTTATTTCTTGAGTTTAGCAAATCCACATATTTCAAATTCAGAATGTTTCTTTTTAAATTTTATTTTATATGTATGGGTGTTTCCCTGAATGTATGTATGTGTACATTCCTGATGCCCATGGAAGCCAGAAGAGGACATTGAATCCCCTGGTACTGGAGTTACAGATGGTTGTGAGCTATCCTAAGTGTGCTGGAAATGGAATGAGTCTTCTACAAGAGCAGCCAGTACTAAAATTCAGAAAGTTTAAAGGGAAGACCTTGAAGGAGCCCTGTGTCACTGTCTGGATGCCCTTTCCTCCTCACAGGCTGCCAAGAATGTGAGGGTTTCCTGCACATGCCAGCACTCAGGCATGTGTACTTCCTCCTAAATTCAGCTGCTCTGTTTTTTTTTCCTTGAGTGGGAACCTTGAATCAACTCAACACACAAAAGACATCTTACTGGGTTGTTTGTTTGAAGCAGGGTCTTTCTTTCTGTGTTACCCAAATTGACCTTAAGCTTGGAATCTTACTGTCTCATCCTCCCAGATCTGGTTTCAAGTAAATTTCTTAATCTGCCACCCTTCCTGACCACCTTGTTCTTTTTAGTGATAGCTAATGTCCTTGGTGTGGATGCCCTGTGTGTCTGCCTTTAGTGGGCACGAATGCATTTTTGGTGTAGAATAGATTCAGCACTGAGTGTTCTTGTAGGTGTTGTGATGCAGAAGGTGAGAGTGTATAACTTTGCTGGACTTGGCAGGTTGCCCTGTGAGGGTTGAGGCCAGTTCCCTTGTCCACCAGGAACTGTGTATGCTGTGTCTTCATTGCACACGCTCCTCAACTGTATTCTGGCTGTAGAGGGACTTCTGAGCACTGTCTTAAAAAAGGCTCTGCTTTTTAGCTCTCATTCACTCTCTGAATACTCTCAGAAGTCTAGACTTGGGGTGGGGAATGTCTTGTGTAGGAAAAAGCCTTCCTAAGATGTATAAAGTCCCCTATAGCTGAGTGAAGAGGGGTTATATCATGTAGGGTGGATAGCTAACCCCGCTTCTGTCCTTAAACCCAAAAAGGAGTCCGAGTCAGGTGGTCCTTCCATTCCACTGTACCACTGCATGACTGGGCACTCCACATCCATCCAGTATTGTACCTGAGGAAGTGTCTCTGCATCTGTTACCTCACTTCTTCCTTGAGATGATACCATGAGTTAGGCAGGAAGGTGCCATTTCTGTCCCGTGGGTGCCAGAGTGATGTCAGACACTTGCCCCATAACCGTTGACTGGTCAGAACCTGACTTCAGACTCTAGGAGGACAGCTGGCTCCCTGGAGGCAAATGGTGGCTCCAGCTGCCAAGCTCCTCCTCCCACCATTGGTGGCAGTGCACCTTCCCTGGAAGCTCACTGTGGAGGAGGGGCTGGGGCTGTATATCTACCTCTTACTTCCATGACACAGGGTCATTTCTGGGAAAACTCCCTAGCCCCTGATTTCTCCTCTGTTTGCTGTTTTAACCAGAGAATCTGGGATGGCTATGCTCTTCTCAGGGCCAGGATCCCTTCTTGGGGAAATGGGCACTAAGCTGAGTCTGAGTCCTTAGCAGAAATGATGTTGATAGAAACTTGGGTGTCCACTTCCAGCTCCACCTCGACATAGTATTTCAGACATAATGGCAACTCCTATCATTCATCATCTGTGTGTTTCAAGTGAAATTCTTCATATGTAGAGAAGACATCTTGGAAGCTGGGTGTCCTGGCACACACTTATAGTCTCAGCACTCAGCACAGTGCTGAAGCTGTCACTAACATATGTTAGCTTTGTGTTATCTCTGGCCTGGCCTCTAGCTGTGTGGTGGTCACTGTCATCACAGAATCTCACAAAGTCAGAGCTTGCTCATTAAAACCCAAGGTTTCCCTGGCATAGTGGTATGTACCTGTAATCCCAGCACTCAAGAAACCAAGGCAGGAGGATTATGATGACTTTGATCTAGACAGTAATATTTTATCTCAAAAACAGCAATAACCAAACTCTCTTAATCTTTTCCACTTGAAGCATAATTAGATCTATAAACAATTTTGACACCTCTCTTGTTAACACTGATGATTTAAGCATTAAAAATATTCTTCTCATGGACTAGGAGTGTAGCTCAATTGATATAGTACTTATATAGCAAGGAGGCCCTGGGTTCAGTCACTACCACCTAAACTGGGTGTGGTAGAGTACTCCCCAATCCTAGGGAGATAGAAGCAAGAGGGTCAGAAGTTGAAGGTCCTTCTCAGCCAGCCTAAAAAATTGTCTTTTAAAAAATTCCGACCAGAAAGCCAGGCAGTGGTGGCACACACCTTTAGTACCAGCATTTGGGAAGCAGAGGCAGGCAGATCTCTGTGATTTCAAGGGCAGCCTGGTCTACAGTGTGAGTTCCAGGACAGGCTTTCAACACCCTGTCTTGAGTCCCCCCCCCCCAAAAAAAAAAATCTGACTAGAAAGCCGCTCAGAGCTGAAGACCAGGACTGACTGTGTGCCCAGAACTGACTAACCGTCTACCAGCCTGCCTTTCCTTCATGACTTCCTGACTCAGAGCACTGGCCTTTTCCAGGAAGTACCCTTATTCTTGCTCAAATTTCCTTTCATCTTTTTAATGTCTGAATCCAGTCACAGCTACAAAGTTTTGTTAAACATCCAAAGTGGGCTGGGGACAGAGTCCCAAGGATCACAAATCCTCCGACAGCATGTCTTTGAACTCACTTTCTTTATGGCCTCACTGATGTTGGAGAATGGATTGTTTTCCATTATTTTAATGGATCTCACAGTCTCTATCTTTGGCAATCTTCCTGGTTCTTGATGCAATTTGAACATATTTGTGGAGTTAGCAGATTTTATGGTTTGTTATTTTTTTATGTCTCTCTTCATCCTAGAACTTGACGAAGCTGTAGTTCATATCATTACATGGTTCTACCCTTATACATGATTAAAGGAGGCCTGAGGAAGGGGAGCAGTTGGAAGCGGGGAGTTGCTGGTAGCACAGATTCTAAGATCTCTGGCCTGCCTCACTGAGCCACCACCACTTACCAGCTATGATGCCTTGGAATCAGACTTCACCCTTTGTCTTTGGCTTCTCATCTGTGAAATGGGTACCAGAGCTATCCACCTCTCGGACTGTAGCTGACTCACTTCTTGACGTTTACTAGTGATGTGTTTAGTAAATAAAATGCAGAGCCAGCTTCCACCTGCCCATCAACCCAGGGACTCCTTCTTTGAGAGGTGCCGTTGGAAAAACCCAAACCAAGGGGCCACCTCAGAAGTGGATTTATTTACCCATTGGGCCATGGTTTCTTATCTTCTTGTTGTGTTCTGGCTTGCAGGACCTTGGTTGTAGGGAAGTGGTATACCCATTTCAGATGATGGGTCTTCCCTGCAGTGACAACTGAGAAGTCCCCTCTTTCAGAATCTGGACATACACACAGTTTTGCTGACTGTCCTTCATCCCTGACTTTCTCCTCTGAGCTGTTGCTATGCACCAGGGGTTGTCTGAGAGCAGGGTCCACATCACTTGTGCTCTGTAGCCTGGATCCTGCGCATAGCTACTTTAGTCTAGGCCTTGGGGTTTCTGTTCAAGGGGCCAGGTATCTTAGCCTGTTGTGAGCTTTCTGGTGTCCCTTTGGAGGTGTGCTGTGTGTTTTAGGGAGGGTGGAGCAGAGGGAGAAAGAATGAGCAGAATTGTCTGGTGGGGTCTTGGGGTTTCCAACGTAATCTTAACTGTTTTCTCTTACAGAACCTACAACCATGGTGGTGCCGCCAGCCAGCTCAGAAGCCCAGGTATTGAAAAGCAATTTTAGATTACCTGTTATATAATAAAATTTATCTGTTGTGCTGGTTAGGTTTTTGTCAACTTGACATAAGCTAGAGTCATCTGAGAGGAGGGAACCTCAACTGAGAAAATGACTCCATAAGATTGGTCTGTAGGCAAGTTGGTGAGACATTCTCTTGGTGATTGATGGGGGGTTGGCAGTGCAGCCCATTGTGGGTGGTGCCATCCCTAGGCAGGTGGTCCTGGATGGTGTAAGAAAGCAGGCTGAGCAAGCTATGAGGAGCAGACCACCCAGTAAGCGGCACTGCTCTATGGGCTCTGCTTCAGTTCCTGCTTCCAAGTTCCTGCCTTGAGCTCCTTCCTTCAGATATGGGGGTTACAACCTGAGATTTGTGAACTGAAATAAATCTTTTCTTCAATTGTTTTTGGTTGTGGCGTTTTGTCACAGCAACGGAAGACTAACTAACACAATCCTTTGGGTGAGGGAAGACACTGATAAAAACACCTGAAGGTCTTTTTTTTTTTTTTTTTTCTTTTTTGGCTTTTCGAGAGAGGGTTTCTCTGTGTAGCTTTGGAGCCTATCCTGGCACTTGCTCTGGAGATCAGGCTGGCCTCGAACTCACTAAGATCTGCCTGCCTCTGTCTCCCGAGTGCTGGGATTAAAGGCATGTACCACCAACACCTGATAAAAAAAACACCTGAAGGCCTTAACTGAACGTGTAAATGAAGCTCTTCACCGGGGACAGGCAAGTGAAGAGCCTAGAGTGGTCACAGCCCTGGATACTGATCCCACTCCTATACCACGGGAACAAGGGAGACAGCACTGCTGACCTCACTCTGGCCCACCGGAAAGTGATGTGATCTGCAAGGTAGGCTTCTCATGGCATGGAGTTTAGGGCAGATGAGAAACCAACCAATGACCAATGCCTAGAACCCAAGCCTCCATTGTCTTGAGGTAATGGTCTGAATTTGATGTTTATTTCTGTTGTTTTTGTCTAGCCAGCACTGGCCTCAACTTAACCATGTAGCTGAGGCTAGGTGAGACTTTGAACTCCTGATCCTCCTGCCTCAGTCTCCCAAGTAATGCTGGGGTTACAAGCATGAGCTACTATGTTAGGCTTTCCACTGCCTTAAAAAAAGGGGAGGGGGAGCTGGAGAGATGGCTCAGCAGTTGAGATGCCTGCTCTTCCAGAGGTCCTGAGTTCAATTCCCAGCAACCACATGGTGGCTCACAACCATCTGTAATGAGATCTGGTGCCCTCTTCTGGCCTGCAGTTATACATGTAGGCAGAACACTGTACATATAATAAATAAATAAATCTTAAAAAAAAAAGGAAGAAAAAACAAAAAAGAACCACAGAGGCTGAGGCAGGATGAACACATGGTCTTAAGAGACTGAGGGCAACTACCCCCCACACACCACTTCAAAATTAAAATAAACAATGACTACCACTACCACCCCCAGGGAAGTAAAGAACAAACAAACAAACAAACAAACAAAAAAGATGTATTTATTTATTATGTATACAGTGTTCTGCCTGCACACCAGAAGAGGGCATCAGATCTCATTATAGATGGTTGTGAGCCACCATGTGGTTGCTGGGAATTAAACTCAGGACCTCTGGAAGAGCAGTCAGTGCTCTTAACCTCTGAGCTATCTCTCCAGCCCCTTCCACTGCCTTTTTGCTTTATTTATTTCAGTTTTTTGTTGTTGTTTTTTCAATAAGTGATACACCTATTTCTTCTACTTGTTTCCCAAAAGGCAATGAAGAGTGGAAACTACTTGTATCCTAGGATGAGAAGGGACCCTTGGGAACAGAAAAGAGCAGCATCTGAGCAGAAAACAGAGCTAGAGAGAGGAATTCCAGGACATGTTGCCTGCTCTGATGTTTTCTTTCTTTGAAATGGGGCCTTTCACTGCCTTTTCAAAGCATAATTTTAATATAATAATAATTTATAGGGTTGGATGCAATGGTACATACCTGTAGTTCCAGCTACTTGGACAACTGAAGATTTGAAGAAAAATAAAGAAGAGATATGGAGGAAGGAAGGGAGGGAGGGAGGAAAGAAACCTCTGCATTTATGTATGTATTTATCATGGTAGCATTCCAATGGAGAAGAGGTGGTCACAGACCAAAGGGACTCCGTCATGTGCTGTCACTGCTTCTACGGCTACTGCTGCTTCCTCTTCCTTCCCTATCTAGATCTTGCCTCAAGAAGAAAAATATCGTATTTCCTTACATTTTGTTATTTATCTATCTGGACTTTTTTTTTTGAGATAGGGTTTCTATACCATGTCTTGGTTGTTCTAGAATTCAGTATGCAGACCAAATTGGCCTTGAACTCAAAGAGATCCATATGCTTCTGCCTCCTAAGTGCTGGGATTAAAGACATGTGCCAGTACAGCTGGCTGGCACTAAATCTTACCACCACAATTCTTAATGCCAGGGACTAGATACCCTCGCTATCCTGGAATGCTGTCACCTAAGCAACACTGCTAAATGTCACTAAGGAACTGTGAAGATGGTATTTTTTATATAGGTAGCTGGAAATAGGGGGAAGAACAACTGTATTTCTAAGACATCTGCATTGTCGTGTGGCTGCCAGTTATCTGTATTCACAGCTGTATAGTATCCCAGATAGTTTATTTCTCTGAGTCCAGGTCTGCTGGCCTGGGAAATCAGCTGATCCGTGTCCAGAGTTCATAGAGGTGAAAATACTACCTACTACCTAAAGGATGCCTAGTATTACACGCCATAAAAATACTTGTAAAAGCTTTGAATGAAGGGAGTCTCATACAGATTGTTCTCAGAGGCCCACATGTTAACCTGAAAGCTCTATCCCCAGGAAATAGGGTGAGGGGAGCCACTCAAAATCTAAGCTTCATTCTGGCTACTGGGTTTCATGAACTGCCTATGCTGCCCCTCTAATTGCAGTCAGATTCCAGGCTGATGGCCTTGCTTGAACTTGAAAGTTGGAGGTCCTGAGACTGGCCTGCTGCCCAGGCTTTTCCTAATGGAAAGAATTCTTTGTGTTCCAGAGAAAGTTTCCAGTGAGTTGGGGACAGAAAAGCTTTTTACCAAAGAAGCCATCAGATAAGAGGCTTGGCTGAAGTTAACCCTTCCCTTTGCTTGTTGCTAGTGTAGGCCAGCACTTGGGAAAACAAGAGTGTCCTGGATGGATTGGGTTACCTTTCTGCAGTGTGCATTGGGATGGGTAGGAGAGCTTTCTGCTTGCTTCTCAGTCTGTCTTCCTCCATGGAGTCATGTGGTTTCCATTGGGGATCCTGCCACACAACTGAGCATCACAGAGCTATGAGATCATGTACCACCTTGCTCTAACCTGGCATCTACCTCTACAGCAGATGAATTTACTGTGGGACCTGTCCATGTTTCTGTCCCTTTTACCTTGCTAGCTTTCCCTTTCCATTGTCATACTCAAGAATGGTCCTGAGATAGTCTCTGGAGTCCCTAATTTCCCAGGGCATTATCTGGCTGCTGGCCAAAGCCCTGCTGTTTGCTACCTGTCAAGTGTGACCAGCCACTAGATGTTAGTGCCATGCCCTCTTACTCTGCATTCATAGGTGTGCCTTGGGAACAGTCTATGACTTTTAACTTGCTTGAAGTAGAGATAAAACTAGGGTGAGGACAGTCCCAAGGGTGGGCAGGGGCTTTGATCCATTGTGATTTTACTTCCACTAGTCTTCTTGAGTCAAGGGTTACCTTCCCCAGGCCTGTGGGGAAGATGTCCCTGTAGGACCCAGAGACCTTATCCCTTGTTTGACCCTAGTGTCTTTGGCCTGTTATTGCTCTGCCTTCCTCAGGCTCTGGTTTCCTGAATACCTTGTTAGCCATAAATGAGTGAAGAGGCCATTGGGGCAAGGTGGTACCAGAGAGTGGACAGTCTCTGATGAAGCTATGGCTCCATCTGCTACAGCAATGTCTTCTCACCCTAGCAATGTAACAGAAAATTTAGAGCATAGCACAGGCAGACCCAACTCCAAGGTCTAGCTTGGCGATCTTCTAGCTGTGATGAAGTAGCCTAACATCTCCATGCCTCTGTCCTCTGGGTTTTTGTTGTTGTTGTTTGTTTTGTTTTTCTGAGACAAGGTTTCTCTATATAACTGTCCTGGCTGAACTCATTCTGTAGACCAGGCTGACCTTGAATTCAGAGATCTGCCTGCGTCTGCCTCCTGAGTGCTAGGAATAAAGGTGTGCACCACCACTGCCTGGCTCCTCTGTCCCTCTGTACATGAGATGGGAGGTTGTGTTGTTGAGGTCAAGTAGAATGAGTTTTGCATAGGTTTAGCATAGTGTCTACATAGTAGAGCTGCTATTTTGTATGTATGTGCCTTTGGTTGTCTTTTCTTTCTTCTTAGCAAATATTTTATGTATACAAGATTTATTTATTTATTATTTTGCTTGCATGTATGTCTATGTACCATGTGCATACCTGGTGCCTGAGGATGTCATAAGAGGGTGTTAGATCCTCTGTAACGCAGTTATGGAAAGTTGTGAGCCACCATGCAGGTACTGGCAATTGAACTCAGGTCCTCTGGAAGAGTACCCAGTGCTCTTAACCACAGAACCTATTTCTCCAGCCCCAGATAGTCTGTTCAAAGAAGGAAAATATGAAAACCATTCATTTAGTAGTATTGGGGATTGATCCTCGAGTCTTGCATGTGCTAGGCAATATCTCCAGCCTCAGTTTATCTTTTTATTTTTGAGAGGAATTTCACTAAATTTCCCAGGCTGGCCTCAGACTTACTCTGTAGTCCAGTCTTAAACTCATAGTCTTCCTGCCTCTGTCTCCTGAGTAGCCAGGACTAACAAGCTGTGTCACCAAGTCCTGCCTGTAAGCCTTATATTTACAGTTATTTGTTTTGAGACTTTCTTTTTTGATTTTTTATTAATTTATTTATATATGAGTACCCTAACGGAATGTACTCCCTTATTCCAGAAGAGGGCATCAGCTCCCAGTATAGATGGTTGTGAGCTACCATGTGATTGCTGGGAATCGAACCTCTGGAAGAGCAGCCAGCTTTTAACCAGTGAGCCACCTTGTAGGGAGACACCCTAGCCCCGCCCTGGGACAGGTACCAGGTGGACCCGGGACTCTCCCATAAGGGCGTGGTGTAGGAAAGCCAAGGTGACATAAGGGAAGCTTCTTAAAGACAGCTTGTGGAGACCCGAACCCTCTTTTCTGGCCACGCTTGCTGGGTTCCTGTAATCTCGCTCTGGCCTGCGTTTTGCCCCTGGTGTTTTCTTGAATAAAGAGACCTTATTCATCACCACCTCTCCAGCCCTGAGACAAGTTTTCATTGTGTAGCCCAGGCTGGCCTCAAGGTTAAGATTTTCTTGCCTCAGCCTCTCAAATACTGGGATCACAGTTCTGTGCCACCTCATCCAAATTTATGAAAACCCTTTGCAACACAAAAGTAAATGCTATGCAAATTAGGGATACTGTTAATCCCTCTATGCTGGCAGCCCATCGCAGTGTTCCCTGTCTGATTAAACCTAGGGTTCCTGCCAAATGAAATGGAGAAATGCTGAGGTAAGAGGACTCTACAGAAAGACCTCAAAGATGCTTAATGTGCTTTTAAAAAAACAGAATTACTGAGGCTGGAGAGATGGCTCATCAATTAAGAGTACTGGCTGCTCTTCCAGATAATCTGGATGATTCCCAGCATCCATATGTCTGTAACTACAGTCTCAGGGGACCTGGCACCCCTATTCTGGCCTCCAAAGGCACTGCATGCATGAGACACACAGACTTATATGCAGTCAAAACACCCATACACACAAAATACAATGAAAAAAAATTTAAGAGTTATTATCAGGCATGGTGCACATGCTTATAATCTTTTGGAAAGCTAAGATGGGAGGCTTAAACCCTTGAGGTCAGCCAAGGCTACCTAGCAAGACTCTGTCTCAAAATAAGTATAATGGAGACTTTCAGGAAGTACAGTCACCTGAAGCACCAGAGCCTCTTGCAGTGAGTTCCGCCAGTCCCCAGGGTCTGACCCTCATGCTCCATCACGTGTCTAGAGTGTTTTCTCCCCACTTTGGTCAGGTTAAATGTATATACATAGAAAGGTTACATTCCTTTAAAAAGATACGAGGCTGAGTATGGTATGGTGGAGCATGCCTGCAATCCCAACACTCAGGAGGCTGAAGCAGGAGTTTGAGGCCAGCTAAAGCTATGTAGATACCCTGTCTCAAATAACAAACAACTAGCTGGGCATAGGCCTGTAATCCCAGCCCTGGGGAAGTGAAAGTAGGAGGATCAGGAGTAAACTTCATGAGATACTACCTCAAAAAACAAACAAACAAACAAACAAAGCAAACAAAAGCAAAAAGCGGGCCTGAAGAGGTGGCTTATCAGTTAAGAACGCCAGCTGCTCTTCCAGAGAACGCTGGTTCAATTCCTATCACCTGCATGGCTGCTCACAAACTCCAGTTCTAGGGTATCTCCCACCCTCTCTGGCCTCTGAGGGTACTGTATGCATGTGGTCCACAGAAGTACATGCAGGTAAAATACCAATCAATACACATAAAAATAAAATAAATTAATTGGTTAAAAAAAAAAAGCCAGGAGGAGGTGGTGCACACCTTTAACCCTAGCACTTGGACACAGAGTCAGGTGGATCTCTGTGATTTCAAGGCCAACCTGGTTTACAGAGCTAGTTCCAAGACAGCTAGGGCTACACAGAGAAACTCATGTATCAAAAAACAAGAATGAAAAAAGAAAGAAAGGAAGAGAGAGAGAATAAGGAGGAGAAGGAAAAGAAGAAAAAAGGAGATGAAGAAGAAGAAGAAGAAGAAGAAGAAGAAGAAGAAGAAGAAGAAGAAGAAGAAGAAGAAGAAGAAGAAGAAGAAGCAGCAGCAGTAAGAGTAGTTAATAGTAGTAGTAATAGTGTTGGGAAATTGGACCGATAGTCGGGGTGGTGGTGCAGCCTTCAGTCCCAGAACTTGGAAGGCAGAGGTAGGTGGATCTCTGTGAGTTGAGGCCAACGTGGTCTGCACAGTGAGTTCTAGGACATCCAGGTAGAAAGACTCTGCCTTAAAAAAACCAAATAAATAAATAAACAACAAAATATAAGGAAATATAATATTTTTCTTTTTGAGACAAGGTCTAGCTATATAACCCTGACTGGTCTAAAACTTGAGCTGGCCTCAAACTCACATAGCTCCTCCACCTCTGCTTCCTGAGTGCTAGAATTAAAGGTGTGAGCTGTTTGCTCAGCATGACATAATTTTTTTGTGAGTACAAATATCATTTTGTTCATATAATGATGTGAGTCAGCTGTTACTCAGATAATCAGAGATAATCTGGGATAATCAGAAAGGTGAGGTTTGACTGGGAGTGTGGCTCAGTGGTCGAGTGTGTATTCAGCAGGCCACATGGCTCTGGCTCAAGCTTCACAGAGGGGACAAGGGTTATTTTGGCTCACAGTTTTGGAAGTTTCAGTTCATGGCCACTTAGTCTTAATGCTTTGTTACACGTGCCCTATGGTGATGTTACACTTCATGGAGAAGTCTGCTTTTCTCTTGGCTGGGTATGAAAAGTTGGAGGCCACTTTCCAATAACTCCTCCCAGGCTACACCTTCAGTGAGCAGAAGATCTCCCACTCAACACCACTTATTTATTTATTTATTTATCCACAGGGTCTCACTATGTAATCCAGTCTGGCCTGGAACTCACTGTGTAGCCCAGGCTGGCCTGGAACACACAGAAATCTACCAACTCTGCCTCCCAAGTACTGGGATTAAAGGAGTGCACCGTGCCCAGCAAACCCACCTCTTAAAAGTTCCACCAGTTCCCAATGGAAACAAGCTGAGGACTAAAGCTTTTACACACGGGCCTTTGTGAACATCTAAGAATTATACTGTAGGGCTGGGGTGTTATATAATGGTAGAATACTCTCATATCATGCGTGAAGGCCTGGCTTTGGTACCCAGTACTGCAAAATAAAAAGGAAACAATCAACCCCCAAAGCGACAGTGGATAAGCAACATCACAGCAGCAGTCACTGAGTCAGCTGGTCTTTCTCCTTTGATTTTAGCCATACTGTTTATTACATAAGAGGCTAATGCTTAGTTAGATTTCTCTCTTTCCTGATTATATTTGGGGAGGGGCATGCATACTGTGCAGTCAACACATGTCCTTTCCTTTTTCATAGAGGGCATCATGAGCCTTCCCATCCCAACTGTGCTCTGGCTCAGGAAGCTACTAACTTTTCTATTGCTGGGCTAACTTACTTAGAGCCGTGTTAATGGCACCACACTGTATAAAGGTTTTCATCTGATCTATGTGGCATGTGCATGTGTGTGTTTGTCTATTTCCTTTCCATAGTGCCCCACTATGGGTACATACCTTTCTCCACTATGAAGAACACATGGGTGGTTTATGAACAAATCTTGTGTGGATGTACTTTTGTATTTTTCTGGGTTAAATACCTGGGAGGGAAGGTGCTGAATCACATGTTCAATGCATACTGGTAAGAATTTTCCTGTTTTTGCCGGGTGTTGGTGGCGCACGCCTTTAATCCCAGCACTCGGGAGGCAGAGGCAGATGGATCTGTGAGTTTGAGGCCAACCTGGTCTACAGAGCGAGTGCCAGGATAGGCTCCAAAGCTACACAGAGAAACCCTGTCTCGAAAAACCAAATAAAAAAAAAAAAGAATTTTCCTGTTTTCTAAAGTAACTGTGTTCTCTTTGAGGGTACATCTTCTAACAGTGGTCCATGTTTTGTTTGTGACATGAGTCCCCTCTCTGGCAAGAGGTGGTATTTCTTCTTTTTTAAAATGATTTATTTATTTTTATTTGATGTATACATCAGTTGGTGTTTTGCCTGCACGTACGTCTGTGTGAGGGTGTTGGATCCCCTGGAACTTGAGTTACAGGCAGTTGTGAGCTGCCATGTGGTTGCTGGGAATTGAACCTAGGTCCTCTAGAAGAGCAGGCAGTGCTCTTAATTTCTGAGCCATCTCTCCAGTCCCAAGAGGTGGTATTTCTATATCACTGTTATAAACAGTGCTATGATCTTCTCTTCTCCCTGCCTGTTATTCTGTCTGGTACCCCTGTCTGTTTTATGATGGTGGGTGCTGCCGGTTGTGGTCCCCAGTGCCCTTGTGGCTTGGAATGCCTTCTCTGGTGACCATATGACGTCTCTGTCCCTTAGATGGTCCAGTCTCTGGGCTTCGCTATCTACCGTGCACTGGACTGGGGGTTAGATGAGAGTGAGGAGCGAGAGCTCAGCCCGCAGCTGGAGAAGCTCATCGACCTCATGGCTAACAGCGACTGTGAGGACAGCAGCTGCGGGGCAGCAGACGAAGGCTATGGGGGTCCAGAAGAGGAAGAGGAGAATGAGGGCGGGCCACGAGCCGTGCGCACCTTTGCCCAGGCCATGCGACTGTGTGCTTTGCGCCTGACCGACCCCCATGGCGCACAGGCCCACTACCAGGCAGTGTGCCGAGCTCTTTTTGTGGAGACACTGGAGCTTCGTGCCTTCCTGGCCCGGGTGAGGGAGGCCAAGGAGGTGAGCGCGATATGGGCTACAACTGGGAGGACTGATGCTGGGTGGCGTGAGGGAGGTGGGGGTGTAAATCGGGTGGGGATGGGGGCAGGGAGGTGATGGGGCCCTCTCAGTGTTCCATGGGGGTTAAGGTCTTTGATGCCGACTCCACCTTCTTATGAATACCCATAACTTTCCCCCTCCCCCATGCTGGACGCTGTCCAAAATGTTTCATGCATTTTTAACTTCATGCCTTCTTTTCACTGGCATGATTTTCAGAGAACGGAATCAGCGAGTGGCTCCTAGCCTTTGTTTCTACTGCATCAATCCTGTTGCCTCGAAATTAGCCGTTACCCTCCCTGGCTCCACATTCATCTCTGTAAGAGGGAAATCTACTTACTGGCTGGCCTCTCTCAGCCCCCACAGTTCCTTCTGAAAATGTGGTACTAAAGAAGCCACTTCTTCTCTTGTAGAACCACACAAGCAGGCCCATGGGCTTGGAAATTTGGGGTGGGTAGGTGAGAGAACCCTTCTGGACACTTACTGTGCTTGCCACAGTCCTTCTTCATTCTTTGGTGGTCTCCCATCTTACAAATGAACAGATGCTACCTCTGAGAGTTAGGGTCCTCCATCCCAGTGCCAGAGCCTGTCTAAGATACAGCCTCTAGGCTGTCCTGATTTCCCCTGACCCAGAGTTAGGGCTTGGCTGTTTCCATTCTTCCTTGGAGGAGTTGCTACTGCTTAAAGAGAACCATTTTTTCCCCCTGTGACGTAGGTTGTCCTGGCCCCAGTCAGTATTTCACTGGTGCTGAAAGGGAGACTTGGAAGAGGTCAGGTGAGGGTCAAGCCATGCTCTCCTGCTCAGGTAGCAGAAGTTAATTTTTAAGTTAGTTGATATCGGTCTCTGATTCCACCTGCCCTTTTCTGTGATGTATCTCTCTTCTTGTAGAGTAGAAGGATCATAGCTAGCATCCTGACACCTTGGAGCCTGCATAGACTTTCAGGGATGTTTGCATAATAGAATCTGGGACCCAACTTGAACCCATTGATCCTCACTTGTAACTATCACATGGTAACCTTGGGAGGTTCTCCTCTTGGCTCCCAGTGTTCAATGCACCATCCCTACCTTCCCTCTCAGCTCCTCTGTGGTATCTCAGAGACACTCTTCTGACTGTGATTTCTGGTGGCTGGCAGGTGGTCCTTGGACTTTTGTCCTTCTTTGAACATGGTCTGTTCTGTTGCTGAAATCAATTCCTTACCCAGACAAAGGAGCTTTAGCAGGAATACATACCTCTACATGTCATTCCACTGACCCCAGAGACAGGGGATCCGTGCTGGGGATACAGGGTCCTGAGCAGACACACCTGGGCTAGTCTGGGCTGGCAATTTGGACAGATGCAAGTGTGCAGGGTCAGGTGTAGGGCAGGAGAGCCATCCTCAATGCCCCTTGCCTCAGGAGTCCCACACAATAGTGTGTGTTAAAGCAGTTTGGCAAGTAGCTCAGGGTGAAAGCTAGAGTGACTAGTTCTCTCCTTGTTGGGTAAGAGCTGCTAAAGGGAAAATGCTTCTCTATAGTTGGGAGCTAGTGAGAGCAGAATCTCCAGGCTGCCACCTAGACCTAGAACCATCATGGCTGCAATTGCAGCATCTTCCCCCAAATCCCCAGTTGCCATATCCCTGGCGTCTTCCCTTTTCCCTCACCGTGATGTTAGCACTTCATATCTGGCTGCCTCTTAGGACCTGCTGGTTAGCTCATTCTGTCATCTACCTACAATCAATTCCACCCATACTTGAACACTAACACTTGTCATGGTATGCTGGGCTCCAAACTTAGAATGGTAGCCAAGAAAGCATACACAACTTTTAAGAGACAGGTCCTTGGTGACCTCTAGTATGGGCCATGCATAGAGAAGCAACTACGAACACTCCAAGAGAAGAGTGGGCTCATGGCCTGACTAGGCTGAAGTGCTGGGTGGACTGAAATCTTGAGGGTAACAGGGAGTGCTTCCCCTTCTGAGTCTGCCACCTATGGGGGACAGTGCCTCCCTGAGACATGTGGGTCAGATGGGAGTGGTGCCATGTGGGCACCAGGCTCTCACCAGGCTTGCTTAAGAGAAGCCACTAGAGAAGATTAAAAGTTCCCTGTGCCATTCCAAGGCTATAGAGTAGCTTCCCCAGATCTTTCCAAGCCCAAAGCCTGGGCCAGGTGCCTTTGTGACTTCTTTGTAGCTGGCTGAGGGGTACGGAAGTGCGTCCTACTGGATGGGATTTTCAGGGCCCCACTGTGTCCACTGCTCTGCCACTTCTACACTAACTAATTTGTGGTCCCAGATGCTGCAGAAGCTGGGGGAGGATGAGCCACAGGTAGAGAAGCCACTGGCCGAGCTTGACCACCTGGGACACACAGACTGGGTAAGACGTGGACCCCTCCTGACCTGGGGCAGGTTTGTGCTGGGAGAGCCATGGGTGCCAGGGCTGAGGCTATTTTCTTTTCTGGGTCAGGCCCGGCTGTGGGTACAGCTCATGCGGGAGCTGCGTCACGGGGTGAAGCTGAAGAAAGTGCAGGAGCAAGAGTTTAACCCGCTGCCCACCGAGTTCCAGCTCACCCCCTTCGAGATGCTGATGCAGGATATCCGTGCCAGGAACTATAAGCTGCGCAAGGTCATGGTGAGCCGCAGCTCTGTTGTCCTCCGCCAGCAGCCCTGGCCCTCTTCCCTTCTGTGGGTTCTTGCCCTGCTGCCACCCCCTAGTGACCCTTCCCTTTGCTCTCGGCTACCAACCCTTGCCCTGCTCCTTGTGCTTGATCTAAGTTTGATACTCATCTGCAGACATGAATAAGGAAGATGTGGCTGGTTCCACAGTGCTTGATTGTATTGAGAATACAGTGTAATAATTAGGGTAAGGAGAAGGTTCTTGAGGATCAGGAGGGGCCCTAAGAGCCAGCCACATTTTTCCATGTAACACACATTTGCATAGCCTTATGCGCACTGGTATCACTGTTAAAATTTTATACGAAGAAGTTCATTTCATTCTTCTGACAACCCTGAGATGGGTCTTACAGCCCCATTTCCTGATGACTCTTAGGTTCAGGAAGCTCAGGCAGCTGAGTTTAGGGCCCACTAGGCCTTGAATGCTGCTCCTGCTGCTGCATATGGCCAATGCACCTGCTATGCACCTGTTAGAGATGCAGCTGAGTCCAGGGAACAGAGTCCCTAGGAGGGAAGTCAGGGCTGTGGGAGCCCCTCCTGGTCACCCTAACACCAGCAGTTGGTGGCCCTGCTTCTCCTGGCAGGTTGATGGGGACATTCCTCCCAGAGTGAAGAAAGATGCTCACGAACTCATCCTGGACTTCATCCGCTCACGGCCTCCTCTAAAGCAGGTACCAGCTGTACACTTCCTCCTCTGGATATTGTGGGGCCTGCTGCTCTCTGTGACCAACCTGGGAGGTGTCTTTATCACATCTACTTCCTGAGGGAGGCCATTTAGGGCTCTTTTGCCGGTTGACTGGAAGGTTGGGCATGATCCCCGGCATAGTGCTTGTGAGTCTGTGTCTTCTTCCTCTTGGGGAGAATTTTTGACCACTTATACCTCACACCAGGTGTGCACAAAGCCTCCTTGGGTAGTGCTTCCTTCTAGGTTACTGAGAGGTAGCACTGAGTCTCCTGGACTATTCCAGCATTTCCCTACTCTAGAGTGGGCCCATGTCACCACCTGCCTCCCCTTCCTACTTAGTGTGTCATGTCGGCGGCAGGTCTCAGAGAGACGACTTCGCCCTGTACCACAAAAGCAGAGAACGCTGCATGAGAAGATCCTGGAGGAAATCAAGCAGGAACGGAGGCTTCGTCCAGTAGGGGTCCAGCACTTGGGAGCCCGTGGTGAGCAAGGTGGGGAGGGTAATGATGGAAGAGAAAACAAATCAAATTTTTGGGCTGTTAGCCTCAAGAGCTTCTATATGGGTAGAGGACCCAGGTCCTCTTAATTTTTTTAACTGTAAACTTAGAGGAGTTATAATGGCCTTGTGACGTCTATAAAAGTGAAGTAATCTTGGACTCTAGGTTTTGATCTGATTTCGTTGCTATAACAGATGACAAATTTCAACATTTGGGAGTAAAATAAAAGTCAAATTTCTAGGTGACTGGAAGGCAGATATATATTTAGACATTTGAGACTTGGTCTTCCTTGCAAAATAACGATGGTGAACTTCAACCCTGCTTCTGCTGGGCTTTTGGGAGGCTGGGCGGCTCTCCTCTTTACCTGGAGCTGCTCATTGTTATCTGGCTGACCAGCCTTCAGTTTCTCCTTTGAAGTAGAGACTTAAACCAAGTGGTGCTCATGAAGCTGTTCAGTCCCATGTTGGCCTTATCCCCCCGACTCATTGTCCATTCTGCACTGGCCTCCTCATCCTTCTTACTCCTGTCCTTTTCTGCCCTGGGAGACTTATCCTCCCCACTCACTGTCCACTCCCGCACTGGCCTCTCCGTCCTCCCTGCTCACTGCCCACTCCTGCCCTGACCTTCCACAGCACTCCCTGCCCCTGCCTTGTCTTCCTTCTTATCCTCCACTCTGGCTTTGTGCTCCTTGCCCTCCCTCCCTGCCCCACATGCACCCTTGCCCTGGTCTCCTGGCCTTCACTGCTCACTGCTCATCCCTGTGCTGACTTCCTCTCCGTCTCCACTCACTATCCACTCCTGCCTTTGTTTTTCCCGCCTTCAGGGTTTGGTTCTCTGCCCTGCATCCTCAATGCCTGCTCTGGTGACATCAAGTCCACTTCCTGCATCAACCTGTCTGTCACAGATGCTGGGAGTGGAAGCCAGCGTCCACGGCCCCGGGTCCTGCTTAAAGCCCCCACTTTAGCAGAGATGGAAGAAATGAACACGTCTGAGGTCAGAGAATAGGAATTCTTCAAAGATCATGCTGATGGGGCTGGGAAAGGCTTAGCGGGACAGGGGTCTGTTTGGTCAGCTGAGTAGGGCATCCTCTGCAGCCAACCACGGGGATGGCAGGTGGCCCCTTCCCTAGCTTTTCAGCTCAGAAGTAGCCTTGGATTAGTGGAACAGTGACCCCCAGAACACAACAACAAAGACTAAAAATGGAAGTTATTTTCTTCTTCTGGCCAGATGAGTAGCCTGAGTGGCCCTCACTTGATGTGAGAAGCTGGCCCCAGTGAGGATCTCTGGCTAATTAGGATGGAAGACGACCTCAGTGCTGGCCATCTCAGAGGGCTCAGCCTTCTGCAGAACTGTCTTCTCCAGTATTTCCTGGAAGACCTCAGGGAATGGTTTGATTATTGAGACGCTTGTCATGATCTGTCCAGAAGATAGATATGAGCTAGTGATATGTAGAGGGCTCAGTTAGCACTCCAAGGATGAGCAAGAGATGCTGGAGGAAGTGGTCAGGAGGGGGCAGCGGTCAGGATGGGGCAGCGGTCAGGAGGGGGCAGCTGTCAGGAGGGGGCAGCGGTCAGGACGGTTCTGTGTCTGATGTGCGTTCAGGAAGAAGAGTCCCCCTGTGGGGAGGTGACACTGAAGAGGGATCGCTCTTTTTCGGAACATGACCTAGCTCAGCTTCGGAGCGACATGGTCTCATCTGGCTTGCAATCAGTCACTCAGCCCCCAGGAGGCATGGAGCCACCCCGGGCCAGAGCAGGCAGCATGCACTCCTGGAGGCCCAGCACCCAAGACCAGGGTACGTATTGCCTTCACTGCCACCTGCTGAGTCCATGTCCACCCATGGGCTTTGTGTTGTAGCCTCAGTCTCACATCTGCCTGAGCAGGCAAGTACCCAAGGTGTGTAACTTGTGCCTGGAAGGGCAGTGCTGAGTCCGCACCACCTAAAGCAGGAGTCCCTGCTTTCCACTAGAGAATTTTTTTTAATAATCTATTTATTTTTGGTGTTTTGACTGCATGTATGTCTGTATGAGGGCATTGGATCCCTTGGAACTGGAGTTACAGTCAGTTGTGAGCTGCCATGTAAGTGCTGGGAATCAAAGCTGGGTCCTCTGGAAGAGCAGTCAGTACTCTTAACCACTGAGCCATCTCTCCAACCCTTGAGATTTTTTTTTTTAAATCAACTAACCAATCTGTATTCATTGCAAAACATTTTCTAAAGAAATTGAATCTTTGTGGGTGGAGAGATGGCTTTGTGGTCAGGAGCACTTGCTGGTCTTGTGGAGAATGATTTTCTGAACCCACATGGTGACTCATAATCATCTCTAATACCAGTTCCAGGGATCCAATGCCCTCCTCTGGCCTCAGTGGGCACCAGGCACACAAGTGGCAAACATGCATAGACTCGTACACATAGAATAAAAATAAGTAAATCAGGCTGGGTATACTGGCTCACACATTTGATCCCAGCACATGGGAGGCAGAGGCAGGTGGATCTCTGAGTTCATGGCCAGCCTGGTCTCCAGAGTGAGTTCCAGGATAGTCAGGGATACACATAGAAACCCTATCTTGAAGAGAAAAAAAGAAGGAGAAAAATAAGTAAATATTTTTAAAGAAAGAATTCAAATTCTCAAGATCCTGTTACCTAGAGATAATTATTATTAATATCCTGAGATGTAGTAAGAGAACTGGCCAGATGTCTATTTCTTTTTTTTGTGGACAGGCGGTTCTTGAAGCACCTGCCTTGTCACCTGCCACTGTTCCCTCACCAGAGGACTCAAGCTAGAAACAGCCTCTCTGACCTGGCTGCACAGGGTTAGTCCCATCAGTTTGTGGCTGGACTTACACCAAGAGCTGTTGGTATTAGAAATGAGTCTGGGGTCCCAAGAACATGATCACATAATCCAGAGCATTTGGCAAGGCAAAACTTTTGGTTCTGCAGAAGGATGCATAACCATGTCAAATTAATAGGTGACCTCCAGTGAGTTTTTGTTTTATTTATTTTATTTTTTGGTTTGTTTTTTCAAGACAGGATTTCCCTGTGTAACAGCCCTAGCTGTCCTGGAACTTACTTTGCAGACCAGGTTGACCTTGAACTGACAGTGATCTGCCTGCCTCTGCCTCTCAAGTGCTGGGATTAAAGGCATGGGCCACCACACCAGGCTGAGTTTTTATTTCTAAAGGAGTCTTATGCCTCTGAGTGGTCAGGCTTGGTCTCATGCACTTACATGATTGGCTAATTTAAAATGACAGTTGATAAGCAGAATGCAATTTTCAGCACCAAGTGCAAACCCTGGCAGAATGTGAGTTTCTGTCATCTAGCTTCCTTACAAAAATTTAAAACTAATTTAAAATTTTAATTTAATTTTTATCTTATGAGTATGGGTATTTTGCATATATGTGTACAATGTTTGTGTATGTCTGTGTATCACATGGGTACCTGGTGCCTTCTGAGGTCAGAGGAGGGTTTTGAATCCCTGGGAATTAGAGTTACAGATGGTTGTGATCCACCATGTAGGTATACGGGAATTGAACCTGGTTCCTCTGCAAGAACAAGTGCTCTTAACTGCAGAGCCAACTCTCCAGCTCTCTAAGCTCTCTGCTTGTCCCCTATCCCCACTGGGACATACATGCTGTCCCCATTGTCCACTTGGCACTTGTCCCTATGGGCCTGTGTTCTTTCTCCAGTTTTCTGTCCTGTGAGTGACCAGTCCCAGCCTTACCCCAGCTCCGCCTTGCCCAGCAGTTTGAGCTCAGTGGATAAACCGGAGGCTTCTGCACCAGATACCAGACACCTGTGGCTGGTAAGTGACAGGGTAGGTTGCCCCGGATGGCCTCTTCAGCATCATCTTCATCCTTCCACTAGCCTGGTGCTCAAGAGAGAGAGAGAGAGAGATGGGCAGCATTCCACAGGATGTGGCTTGGCTTGCTTGTCTTTGAGGGTACCAGAGTCCAGGTCCCTGTATCTGGGGAGATTGTTCTTTGCTGCCACATGCTGGTATACATTGGTATTTTTCCTGAATGCATTGTCTCTGCACCATGTGCATGCCTGGTGCCTGCCAAGCTCAGAAGGCATCAGCTTTCCTGGAACTAGAGTTATAGATGATAGTGAGTCAATCTGTGGGGTGCTGGGAACTGAACCTGAGTTCCTCTGAAAGAACAGTAAGTGACGTTAACCGCTGGCCCATTGCTCCAGCCCCCTCAATGATTTTAATTGAAAGGTAATACCCATATGGTAGAATGAGAGAAAAGTTTCAAAAAGTCATCATTTAACGTCCACACACATAAGATAAATACATGTTAAGGATCTGTTTTTAGCCAGGCAGTAGTGGCGCACGCCTTTAATCCCAGTACTCGGGAGGCAGAGGCAGGTGGATCTCTGTGAGTTCGAGTTCAGCCTGGTCTACAGAGCAAGTGCCAGGATAGTCTCCAAAGCCACAGTGAAACCCTGTCTCGGAAAAAAAACAAAACAAAACAAAACAAACAAGAGTGACTTCTGAATTTGGCATCTTAAAATAATAAACATTCTTTTACAGTTTCTGAGCATTATTATTTCAGAAGCAGCAGCTCTTAGACATTTATTCATTTGTTATTTATTTATTTATTTGTCTTATGTGTGTGGGTATTTTGTCTGCATGTAAGTCTGTGTACCACATGCATGCAGTGCCTTTGAGACCAGAAGAGGTGGGTTAGATTCTCTGTGACTGAAGTTACAGATGGTTGTGAGCTACCATATGGGTTCTGGGAACTGAACCTGAGTCCTCTGGAAGAGTAGCCAGTGTTCTTATCTACTGAGCCATCTCTCCAGCCCCTTTATTTTTATTTTTAAGACAGAGTCTCATGTTGTACCCCAGGCAGGCCTGGAGCAAATTGTTTAGCCCAGTCTGGCCTAGAACAAATTATGTAGCCTAGGCTAGCCTCAAATTGCTTTGCTCCACTTCTACCTCAGAAGCAATTTAACTAGGGGGCATGGCTAATGCCTCCCAGAGGTTTCAGGTCGACTATAACAGGGACTGCATGCCATGGCACCTGAGAGCCACAGCATGTTTTGTGACTAAGTGTCTGCATTGACACACTGTCACTATGCCCTGCAAGTGTTAACAAGTCTAGGAATTTCTTTATTTTTTATTTCATTTTATGTGCATTGGTCTTTTGCCTGCATGTATGTCTGTGTCACAGTGTTGGAACCCCTTGGATCTGCCATGTGGGTGCTAGGAATTGAACCTGGGTCCTCTGGAAGAGCAGCCAGTGCCCTTAACCACTGAGCCATCTCTCCAGCCCCAATGTAGCCCATTCTTTCTTTCTTTCTTCCTTCCTTCCTTCCTTCCTTTCTTTCTTTCTTTCTTTCTTTCTTTCTTTCTTTCTTTCTTTCTTTCTTTCTGTCTTTTTCCTTGGTTTTTTGAGACAGGGTTTTTCTGTATTGCTTTGGAGGTTGTTCTGGAACTTGCTCTGTAGACCAGGCTGGCCTTGAACTTACAGAGATCTGCCTGCCTCTGCTTCCTGAGTGCTGGGATTGCATGTGCCACCAATGCTTGGCTTAATGTAACCATTTCTTAAGACTAGAAAATTAAGGACCATTTCCTGTTCAAGGAAGGAAGGGGTGTGTTTTAAAATTCCACAAGTCCCACAGTGGCCTTTCAGTTCTGAGATATCAAAATGTACCTTCTAAAAGTTAGGCTATCAAAATCAGAGGACCTGATGGCTTTAGTCCTGCCCCAGTCCTAAGAGGTAGCTGCTAACCTCTGCATTTGACATGGGAACTCCTGACAGTAAATAACCAACAACAGGAAGATGTTGGAAGTCCTGGTCATATGGGACATGCAGAAACTTCTGGTGCTGTTCTAGGACTAAATAGCCCCTGCACAGTGCTACCAATGCACATCCTAGAAAAAAAAAATCCAATTTCCATCCTTGTGGTATCTCCTGTATGCCGGTCTCCATCCTGCCTCCACGAACAACAGCTAGTAGTTTTGAGTTCTGTGTACCTGGCACCATGTTAAGAATTGTATGTTGTGTGCCTCAAGGGAGCTGAAGCAACCCCATTTTACAGAAAAGTAGTCTTAGAAGGTCTATTGGCTAGTCTTATGCCACACACTAGTAAGGTTAAACCGAGGTCACTCACCAGAATGTCAGTTAGGACAGATGGCTTGCTGAGTACAGAGGAGCACACTGGGGTCAGGCAGGGCAGAGATTTCCCAGCGCTCCTGGGGACAGTACAGATCAGGGGCAGAGAGGGATGGGGAGATTCTGTGGAGAAGGTTGGAGCCATGGTGTGCGTTTGCAAACAGGAGACAGAGTTTTCTGATGGGGTCAGTGAGGACAAGGAGCAGGGACCTGGGGCCATGGGACTGGGGCCTTGCTACATCAGCAGCGGGGTCCTTGAAGCAGACCCAGCCTCCACGAGTGAGTGAGCAGGTGCACATACTTGAGTCACTTGCCAGGTTGTTCAGACTGAGACCGGGTAACTGTGGGGTCCCCAGGGTGTTGAGCAAGCAGGACCCTACCCCTCGCCCCCAGGAGTTCAGCCACCCCGTGGAGAGCTTGGCTCTGACTGTGGAGGAGGTGATGGATGTGCGCCGAGTGCTGGTGAAGGCTGAGATGGAGAAGTTTCTGCAGGACAAGGAGCTCTTCAGCAGCCTCAAGAGGGGGAAGGTGAGACTTGGATGCCCTGGGCAGCAGGGTAGGGGCTGTTCTGATCAACCGAGGGTGGGACCAGGTGTCTGGGGCTTGCTCAGTGGTTGGGTAGAAGCCCCAGGCCAGCACTTGTTGGGACTGGGCTTGGACTCCAGTGACCTTCCATAGCCATGCTCTAACCTCGCCTCTCCCTGCAGATTTGTTGCTGCTGCCGAACCAAGTTTCCCTTGTTTTCTTGGCCACCTACCTGTCTATTCTGTAAGAGGTGAGTCTTTATCAGCAGAGACACTTAACAAGGGGCATGTTCCATCACACCCAGGCAATTCAGTGTTTTCTTCTCCCTTCCTGTCTCCCCCCAACCCCTGAGACCTGTCTTACTGTATACCTCAGCCTGGCCTCAAACTCATGATCTGCCTGCCTCAGTTTCTTAAGCACTGTAGGTTAGTGCCACCGTGACTTGTTTAGGTTAAATTTATTTATTTGTATTTGTTTGTTTGGTTTGATTTTGTGACAGTTTCTTATGCAGCCCTGGTTGGCCTGGAACTTGTTATAGATCAGGGGAGGAACCCATATAGATCTGCCTACCTTTGCCTCCAAAGAGCTGGGATTAATGGCATGTACCATCACATCTGGCTTAGGTTAAATGTAAATAGTGAAGGGACACCCATGTTTAGCCAAGATGGGGTAACAGACACTTTCTAGCTGAAATAGTCCAAAAACAATCAAACAAAGGATATGAAACAATAGTCTTTAAGACACTGAGAACAAGCAGCTGAATGAGGTAGATGAGGGAGCTTGTGCTGGGCTTGGGAGTTTCTCCTCACCAACTAGAGCTGGGGCAGGAGGCCAGGGCAGCCGGAGATCTTAGAAAGGGATTAGGAGAGGGGAGAGCAGCATAGAGAAACCTGGATATCTGCCTCAGAGATGTCCTTGAGCACGGAGCACAAAAGGAAAAACAGAGCTTGGAAAAGAACCATCCTCTTCCTAATCCTAAAGCATGGATTGTCAAAATGCAGCCTCTACCTATGGTATCCCTACTTATTCTGAGAACGAAGTTTTTTGTTTTGATAACGAAGTTTTTTGTTTTGATGTTTTTCAAGACAGGGTTTCTCTGGCTGTCCTGGAACTTGCTTTGTAGATCAGGCTGGCTTTGAACTCAAAGAGATCCACCTGCCTCTACCTCCTGATAGCTGGGATTAAAGGTGTGTGCCACCATCCCCCGGTTAGGGTTGAATTTGGGGGTGGAGTTGGTTACGTAGGGTTTCTCTGTGTAACAGCTCTGGCTGTCCTGGAACTAGCTCTGTAGACCATGCTGGCCTCAAACTCACAGAGATCTGCCTGCCTCTGCCTCCCAAGTGCTGGGATTAAAGGTGTGCGCCACCACTGCATGGCATAGGCTGAATTTTTGCAAGAAGGGTGTTTTTTATTTTTTTATTGAGACAGGACCTCACTATATAGCTCAGGCTAGCCTCAAAATCAACCCTCCTGCCTCAGTGCTAGAACTATAGGTCTATGTCACCATACCAGACAGGCATTTACTTCTGAAATTGGATATGGGAATTTTTAAAATGCTAATTGCTGTATAAAACTCAACATCTTAGCTGGGCGTTGGTGATGCACGCTTTTAATCCCAGCACTCGGGAGGCAGAGGCAGGTGGATCTCTGTGAGTTCGAGACCAGCCTGGTCTACAAGAGCTAGTTCCAGGACAGCCTCCAAAAGCCACAGAGAGAAACTTTGTCTCGAAAAACAAAAAAAACAAAACAAAACAAAACAAAAAAAAAACCCTCAACATCTTACTTGAAGCCTTCTACTTAGATGGTGCTTCTATGGTGGAAAACACCAGAAACACTCCAGATATTTCTGTGAGAGATATGGGGCAGAGATAAATGAATGTGATCCCAGGAAGATGCAAGATTCTGGAGTAAAATGAAAGTGGTCAGGGATCTGGACAAAAGAGATGATGACTGACCCAGATATGTGCAGCAGACATGGAGGCCAGGAAGAGGGTGTTTTTCCTCCCTGGGCTTCCTTACACTGATATTGCTTTCTCTCTGTTCCTTCCAGAGCTGTGTGCACTTCCTGCAGTGTAAAGGTGAGGATTTAGGGGAACCTTCCAGGTCTTGGTGAAGAGGGATAGGGCCATTGCTGTTTCCAGTTGATGTGTTGGGCAGTTGCCCTCTTATGAGGCACCTTCTTCCAGCACCTTCTTCTAAGAAGCAGCTTTTCTTACATTTCCCAAGACTGCAATCAGTGTATTTGCTTGTTTTGATTGTAAGATAGTATCTCATAAAATCTAGGCTGACTTTAAACTCTCTGTGTATCTGAGGATGACTTTGAACTCCAGTTCCTACTGTCTCTGCCTCCCAAATTCTGGGATTACAGGCAGGAATCACACGTTTTACTTAAAACCATACAGTTTTTGTTTTTGGTTCTTTGTTTGATATTTCTTTTAGGTAGGATCTCACTATGTAATCCTGGTTGACCTGTAACTCACTATGCCTGGCAAAGACTACAGTTTCTTAAAACTCTTATAGGTAGTATTTTAAGACAAGGTCTCACTGTGTATAGCATTGGCTGGCCTGGAACTGGCTATGTAGAGCAAACTTGCTTTGAACTTAGAAATATAACTACTTCTGCCTCCTGAGTGTTAGGATTATATATGTGCATCACCATGCCCAGTCCTTATAAGTAGTCTTAAATTTTGTTTTTACTGGTGCTAGAGAGATGGCTTAGAGGTTAAGAGCACTTGCTGCTGTTGCAGAGGACCTGGGTTTGGTTCCCAGAACTTACATGACAGCTAACAAGTTTGCAACTGCAGTTTCAGAAGATCTGACACTCTCTTCTGTCTTCCAAGGGCACTGTATGTACATATTGCACAGACATAAATACAGGCCAAACACACATACACATAAAGTGAAACTCAGTAAGTTAAAAAAAATTAACAGTTTTTAAGTAACCCATGTGAGTAGGCTGGAGACACACAGCTTTTCTCTCTCTTTCTACAAAATCTTCATTTTGACATGAGAAAGTTTTCAGCAAGACCATGTTGCATTTGGATGCATGCTTCCACTCGGGGGTAAAGGACAGAAACTCTTGGAAGTGTAATGACCATCATGCTTCAGCTTAAATTCTCTATAATCTGTTCCTGGACCACAGGAATACTCCTTGTCAATGTGAAATACTGGTTGTGTGCAGAACCTAAAAGTACACCCTTTGTAGCACAAAACAGTTCCCAAACCCTAAGAAGTTACAGTTTGGATGAGCAGGAAATGTAGTTGAGGTGTGACAAGGGAGGAGCCCATTCTGGGCTCTCAGATGAGAGTGTAGGGGGCACCACTTTCCGTCTCTAGGCCCCCAGAGAGGTGAGGAGGATAAAGGGTGTCTGGACATTTGCTGAGGAACCTTCCCTGTGTTGCAGATGAAGATGCCTTCCAAGAAGTGTGCACACATCCCTGTCTATACACTTGGTTTTGAGAGTCTTCAGAGGGTGCCAACTACCAAAGCCACGCCAATGCTAAGGAGAGATGCCTTCCAGTATGATCTTTTGCCTTGTTGCTGGTATCCTGTGGTAGTGAAGAACTGGGAAATTAGGTTAGGTGCCTATGGCACTGTGAGGATTTCTCCAAGGAACAAGTCAAGTCTTTTGGCAGGGCTGTAGAGGCAGGGTTGTGGGGAATTAAGCTTGGGTAGTCTGGGCTCAGGACCTCAGTGCCTGTCAAGGCAGAGCCTTTGCAGGGATGCACATTGCCAGGTGTGCTCAGTAAGTCTCCTGTGGATGAATAGTGAGGAAGGGGAGAAGAGACAGCAGACAGCTTAGCAAGATGTGGGATTCTGGAGTGGCAGGACAAGGCTTCTGGGAGATCCTGGCCCTAATAGTGTTTTCTCTTCTCATGGTTCTCTCCTGGCATCTTTCCATCCTAGATCCCTGCAGGGACCAAAGTGGCGGAGTGTGGAGGAAGAGTTCCCTCACATCTATGCCCATGGCTGTGTCCTAAAGGATGTCTGCAGTGACTGCACCAGCTTCGTAGCTGATGTAGTATGCTCCAGCCGCAAGAGTGTGGATGTCCTCAATGCCACTCCACAACGCAGCCGCCAGACCCAGTCCCTCTATATCCCCAACACCAGGACTCTGAACTTCCAGTGACTGTTGTGATGGCCATCCTGCTCCCCATCCTGGAACACAGCTGCCATCAACCCCCTTGCGCATGTACATATATACATATATAGATACATTTATAATATATATACAGCCTATATATTTATATACATTGTCTCTTTGCCCTACAGTTCATTTAGGGCCAAGCTTACTCCAGGACCTCTCCTTTTCCTCTCAGGAATCCTTGGAAAGGCTGGGAGGGACTGGGGAACAGAAGAAGGGCAGCTTTCCTGCCCCATGCCTTGGTTCTCATCTGTAATGAGCATATGGCAGCAGCCTCTCTTCCCTGGGTGGACCTTGGTTCTCAGGTGAACCTGAGTATCAGGTCTACCTGTCCTTTAGGGTGCTCAAGCAGCAGAGGTACCTGGGAGGCCTCTGAGTGTGGAATTCTGCTGGGAGGAAGCCCAGGTACCCGAAGCCAAGCTTGCTCTTGGTCCCTTGTTGGCACTGTGTGACTTTTCCTGGGAAGGTATGAACAAACATCTATTCCCCCCAGATAGGTCACTGACAGACCAGAGAAATGATTCCACTCAAGTCTAGCTTGATGAACCATCGAGTTTTCTGAGATTATGGTAACATGGTGAGGGGTTACTTACAGGAACACAAGTGACTCTCAGGTACTTGCATCACCCCTAAGCCCCACCCCATCATAGGTAACAACTCATCACTGTAATTTACACCCCCACACAATATTCTCTTTCTTTCTTTCTTTCTTTCTTTCTTTCTTTCTTTCTTTCTTTCTTTCTTTCTTCCTCCCTCCTCTTCCTCCTCCTCCTCCTCTTCCTCCTCCTCCTTTTCAAGACAGGGTTTCTCTGTGTAGCCCTGGCTGTCCTGGAACTTGCTTTGTACACAGACCAGGCTTGCCTCAAACTCACTAAGATCTGCCTGCCTCTGCCTCCCAAGTGCTGGAATCAAAGGCATGTGCCACCCCCACTGGGCTTTTTTTTTTCTTTTGCCAATTTTCGACTTCTATACCAAGACTATGGTGCAGCTGGGTGGGAGGGTAATGTGGTGGCTGGAATCTCCTGTGAGGGCCTGGTGACCTGCTTCCTACCAGGGAATGTTAATAACCCTATAGCCATTACCATAGGCCTACATATCACCATATTGTGTTATTTATTTCACTGCCATGGTTGCAGGCTAGTGTGTTCTGTAGGTAACTACAGCTGTTCAGTTGCATGATGGTGATGCTTATGTTCATTAAGCCTGGAGTAAATACCTACACCAGGACTCAGGAAAGGCCTGTACTAAGTATCCTGCCTGCTTACATGTACCCAAGAGATTGATTTTGTCATCACCACAGCTTACAGATTAGGAAACAAAGGTTCAGTAAGGTAAAGGGATTTGACTGCTTCTCTCAGAATATGCCAGAATTCCAACTGAAGCCTGTTAATTGAGGCCTTCTGGCTGACTCCAGGCTCCAACACCCTGCTTAGGACTAGAGGAGGCACCAAAGGCAAATGACTGTGACAGATGGATCTGTGGGAGTTATCTTTGAAATTAGAACACCCAATAAAAGCAGCTAGCTCCCAGCACTTGTTTGAGCACTTCATAGACTGCCTTTGTATTTTGTCTTCTAAATTTTAAAAGAAATGTTTATGTTGTTTGGGTTTTTTTGCATTAATTTATGCGCTCTACATGCGTGCAGGAGCCCATGGAAGTTATCGAACTGGAGTTGCAGGCCGTGTGAGTCACCATGTAGGTGCTAGGAACTGAACTCAGGTCCTTTGCTTGAGCAGCAAGCACTCTTAGCCACCAAGCTATGTCTCCAGCCCTTTGTTTTGTTTTAAAAGGACAGACAGAGAGAGAGGGTCAGGAATTATTACTGTCAACAACCAGCAATAAAAACACTCATGTTTAACCAAGTATGGAGGCTCACACTTGTTATACCAGAACTTGGGAATTAGAGTCAGAAAGATCATTAATTTGAGGCTAATCTGGGCTACATAGCAAGTTCCAGAGAGTTCACTGAGCTATACAGTGAACTCGCAAACAAGAAAACCCTCATGCTTATGTAGTGCTCTCATGGATAGCCACTCCTGGGAACTAAGCACAACTGCTGATTTACAGACTCAAAAGCAACTACATATCCAGCTCACACCCCAGGACCCCCAGGTTCTGATCCCCACATAACACTAACAAATGAAAGCAATAAAAGTCCATCCTGGGAAACAGCTAGGCTGAGCTTAGGGGTAATGCTTACAGGTTGTTCAGTTCCCTACAACCACTTCCTGAGGTTGCTTAGGCAGGAAGAGTGGCTTGTGCTTCTGTCTTCTTACTGCCCTTGGAGTTGCTGGTCTCTTCCAAACAGTAGGTTGCATATCAGCCCACTGAACCCTCAGCCTCATTATTGAAGACTATGCCAAATAGAGTGGCTTAAAACAGAAATTTCCTTAAGGGTTAGATCTGAAGGTCAGGGAGACACATTTGGAGCTGGTGGTTCAGGGAAGATCCACTCCCCGGTTGGGCCTGATGCATCCTTCAGTGTCCACAATCTCTGTCTCAGGAGAAGCAGCTTCATAGGTAAGACTTAGTGGCCTGAGTAAGTTGGGCACACCACCTGATCATGGGTGACACAGAAACTAGACTGGTCCTGAAAAGTCAGAATAGGCATGAGGGTGGTGTGCTAACCCTGATGTGGAAGAGGCTGGGACTTCTGACTAGAATCAGGGAAGAGGACTGGGGGAACACCTTGAGACAGCAGCTATGGACCATCAACTTTGAAGTACCTTAAGATTCTAGCATAGTGTGGGCAGAGTAGCTAAGCCAGTCATTGGGCTCAGCATTCAACCTAGGGAGAAACCAAGATTCCTGAGGGAGGTAGGCTGCAGTGCAGCTCATGGACAGTGGGTTCACAGCAGAGGTGAAACTAAGGAATGCTGCCCTGTCTGCCTTCTCTGTCCTTGCAAATAGCCTATCTTGTTTGGACTTTGGGAGTCACACGAAGGGAAACCCAAGTTCTCTCTGGACTAGTTACTCATTAAGTTAGTTTATTCACCTGACTTCATCTGTTGTAGACAAGAATCTAGAACATTGCCTGGCCTAGCACTGGGGACAGTCCCCACACCCACACTGCCCTCTCCTCTGCTCTCAAGGTAGGAAAGGGTCCTGGAACTCTAGACCAGGCTGGCCTTGAACTCATAAGAGATCCCCCTGCCTCTGCTACTGTACTGCGCCACCACTGCCCAGAACTTGGGTTTGTTTTGCTTTAAAGAAGGAAAGAAAACAGAGCCAGATCTGTGCAGAGGGTCCCTACATCCTTATTGTGAAAACCTTCCTGAATTAAAATTCACATAGGGCTGGCCACCTCGTCTTCAGGATGGAAAGTTTCTGCACTCCAATAAGCTGACGCAGCACTCCAAATCAGACCCAATCAAACCGAATTAGAAAAAGCCCAGGTTTAATGGATAAAACGCTGCCCCCTGGAGAGGAGACGGAAAAAGAGAAACCAGAAAACCACATGCCTGTTTTCTGGTGGGCAGTTTAAATACCCTGTGGGAGTGGCCTTGAGCATCTCGGGTGGGCCACGACAGACAGACGGGTCATCATTTGGGGTCTTTCTGAGATGTGGCAGGGTTTGGAGAGAGATGGGGGAGGGTGGTTGGGGTGAAGCTTCCACCAGAACACAGACCACCGATCCACACCTAGACAGCTACCCCTCACCCAGTGCCACCATAACACGAGCATTCCCCGTTGCTTTCGGGACAATAAAAAGCAACTCCGAGTACCTAACTCGGTTCCGTGCACCTTAGGCAGAGGAGATATGCAGGGATCTGTGTCGAAGAAGGTCCTCGGTTTAGACTGTTTATTAAGGTGGAAATTGTCCCCTTGCAGTCTAGTAGCAGTGTGGAGTGGGGAACATAGGACAGGTCCCATGGGTAAGCTACGCAGACAGGGGTTCGGGACTTCCGTGGTCGCTCCTCGGTCGTATCAGAACAGTCTAGGCTTGCGGATCGTGGCAGTGTGCGCACCTGCTCTCACTCCCTCCTCTCACCTGGCCCCACCTAAAAGCCCCCCTGCCTCGCCCGCCAGCCCCGGGAATCACGTCAGCGGCCTGCAGAGTTCTGCGCCTGCGCGCCCCCACCCGCGTCACAGCCGGCGATCTGCAATCCGTACACCGCGAAAGCTGAATAAATACTGCACTACAGCCGGAGCAACGCCACCGCTAGGGCCCAACTCTCGCGAGAACTCTCTGATCCACCCTCGCACCTTCTCTGACTCCACCGGTAATTGGGAGGAAGTTCCGGAGAGCCGCTGCGCGCAAACGCGACACGCCAACCTTGCGCCAGCGCGCCGCAAGTGCGCAGGCGCCGCCGCCGCTCTGCTGCTCTTCCTCGTCCCTCTGCCTACATCAGGCTGTCGGGTCCTATGTCGCGCCGGGCCCTCCGGAGGCTGAGGGGGGAACAGCGCGGCCAGGAACCCCTAGGGCCCGACGCATTGCAGTTTGTCCTCCTTGATGACGATGACGCGGAGGAAGAGGGACCAAAACAAGGGTCGGGTGGCCGGCGCCCCGGGGGCGCAGGGAAGGAAGGAGTCCGTGTCAACAACCGGTTCGAGCTGGTGAGAAGCTGGGCAGCTAGAGGGGACAGTGTGGGAGGGCATGACGTCATGCGAAGGGGGCATAAAGTTGAGTCTAGACTGCAGGCGAATGGGCGGAGTGAAGGGACTGCGCTGCATTGGGGAAGGCGGGTCTTCAGGACGGTGGGTGGGGTGATGAGGCAGAGCTGGAGAGCGAGTCCGGGTGATGTCGAGGGCGGGGTTCCCCATCCTAGATACAGTGGAAGGTGGGATGAAAGGCAGAGGGAAGGGGCCACTAAAGGCTGGGGGTGGGGGGGCTGCTGTCAAGGGGTTGAGTGATAGGACTTCGCTGCAGTATAGGGCGTGTCTCAGGCCAGTGTCGAGAGGCGTGGTGTGACAGGGGCATGACAGGGCCGTGACGTCAGGGCGGGCGGGACATGACATCTGAGCCAGCTAAGGGGAGGGCCAGCAGGGATGGTGAGTGTCTTAAGATGGGCTTCAGTGAAAGAGTGGGGTTGTGCTCTCTGTTGCGGTACTGTAGTGGGGAGGTCACGGCTTCCTATCTGCGACTTGATGGGGTCTCGATTCCAGCTCTTTACAGCACTTCTGTCTGTCCCAGCAAGTCGTGCCTAGATCATCCCTTGCAGCAGGTGTCCAACACCTGCTGCAAGGTGTGTAGCACCTTGTGTCCCATCATGTTTTTCCTTAAGACTGACTGACCTGTGTCTGCAGTTCCATATGTGTGTGAATTGTGATTCTGACTTCATGTGTGGACAGACAAGTCTCTCTTGTTCATTTTGTATCTCCAGCGTGCACATATGGTAAGGCTTCAGCAGCCATTTTTGAATGAGTGAAAACTAGTCTGAATGTCCTTTGTAATAATCTTGCAGTGTGTTGTCCCCAGGCTTTTATCAATTGGCAAGTTTAAAAGTCCATAGCAAAGATATGGAGGAGTGTGGGAAATGTAGACATTTTAGAAGTTTTATTCAGAGATTATTACCCTCTCCAGGAAAGAAAGAGAGGGATTCATTGTATAGTCTGTGGTGGTGGTGGCACTGAAGTCTCTTGTTGGTATTGTCAGAACTCTTCTACCTCCTCTGATTTCCAGCCTGAAAGTAACTCCCATTCCTACTCTGTTTCTTGTTCTTTCATTTTAACTTCTTAAAATAGGTTTCCTTCCCACCCACCCCTAACCCCCAAGAAAAGGTTTCTCTGTGTAACAGCCCTAGCTGTCCTAGAACTCACTTTATAAGCCAGTCTCACCTCCACCTCTCAGAGATCTGCCATGCCAGGCTATTTTTTTGGAGGTTTGGGGCTTTGGGGTTTTCTTGGGGGGGGGGGTAAGGCAGGGTTTCTATTTGTAGCCCTGGCTCTCTGGGAACTCAGAGATTCCCCTGCCTCTGTCTTCAAAGTTCTGGGATTAAAGGCACGGGCCACCACCTTGTGGCTATGTTTAATTTTAAACACACAAAATATAGGGGTATATGGGATGGAGAGAATGGAGATATGGCTCAGCTGTTAAGAGCATTGACTGCTCTTCCAAAGGACCTGGGTTCAATACCCAGTACCCACATGGTGGCTCACAACCGTCTGTAACTCCAGTCCTAGATGACCCAACACTGTCTTCCCTCCTCAGTGGGCACTGCTTATACATGGTGCACAGTCACACAGGCAAGCAAAACTTCCACACATGTAAAAACAAACATTTAAACACACACACACACAGACACACACACACAAAAGCATTAATAGTGCCATCCTAAAAGAAGCAGGGACATGGTGACTTTCTCTTATAAATAAAAAATTTAAAAAGGGGAAATACAAATAACCCTTATGGGCCCATGGCCCGGTTCCCAGTTACTGACATTCAGTCAGTCTACATGTCTTTAATATTGTTTCACTGCCTTCTCTCCAAGAGGTGGTTTCAAAGCAGATCTTAGGCATCATATCTTTTACCCTTACATGAATCTTCCTTGGTATCTGAATTCCTTCCTTGACAGCAACTGATGTTAGCTCTCACACTTTGGGTATCTGAGACCATTGGCCCTAAAGATTTTACAACTCTGTGTAACTCTTCCTCCTATGATCATTTTCTCTTCCCCTGGCTCTTTACAACTTTCTACCTTTAGCTTCAGCTCTCTGTTCTCTACTCTGCCTCCCTTTGTTCCTGCTCTGCCACTCTTTCAAACTGTTCACCTGCCTGTTTTATTTTTTTAGTTTTTTTTAGGGGGCAAGCAGCTGGCTGCCTTGCCACTTCCAGTGCCTAGGCTGTCCACTTCCCAGCTGCTTCTTTCTCTATTACTGGCTTAGCCCACATTACTAAAGTACGCAAGAAAGGGGGCTGGAGAAATGGCTCAGTGGTTAAGAGCCCTTGCTGCTTTTCCAGAGGACTTGGGTTTGGGTTCAGAGGATTGCCTACAAATCAACCAAGGCTTGTGATAGTAAAAGTCAGATACAAACTGAAGCAATATTTCTGAGGCTGTACTTTTAGGAGCCTAAACAATCAGCTGTGATCATAGTGTAGTTTTTTTTTTTCAAGGCCTCTGGAATGTTCAAAGGAATATTGAATATGGATTCTGTCTTACTGTTTGATGGACAGTTCTTTTTCTCAAGGCAGCTGGAGAAGAATTCAACAATTGCCAATTAGAGAATCAAAATGCTCCCTCCTCCAAAGTCTTTGCTTAGTTATAGGAAAATTAGCATCAGAATTTGAAGAAGTTATTAACATTCATAATGATTCTAACTGATTTTAATGGTCTAATGTGTACAGTGCCTGGGGGCAGAGTGAGGTCCGTTTATCTGTCTCAATTCCAGGTGCACAGAGAGTCTTTATCACTGCTGTTCCTCTACACTCTGTTCTGAATACACAGCTGATAGCTCTCCTTTCCCAGCAGTTGTCAAGAGCCAGGTTTGTGCAAGACCGTTCTCCCCAACCCCATCTTTTCCTAGTCTTGCTCACTATGTTCCAGCCACCCTGACCTCCCCTTGTCTCCCCTCTGGCTGCAGTCCCCTTTGTTGAGATACTCACGTAAGACTTACTCTCACTTCCCACTTGCTTAGGTGTTATCCTACTAGTTGTGTCTACCTTGCCATCTGACTAAAATTACAACCATCCTCAATCACATTCCTTTTATTCTTTCTTTCTTTCTTTCTTTCTTTCTTTCTTTCTTTCTTTCTTTCCTTTCCCCTTGGCAGTTACTACCAAACTATACTATTTTTGTATACTATACCAATACTATACTATTCTTTTTGTGTGTTTGCTGATTACCTTCCACTCCTGGAATATAAGTTTCTTGGAAACAGACTTTGTTGCTCACTGATGTATTGCTGCTGTTACTCAGGATGATAGTGTCTGGCGCCCAGCATGTACACCAGTCTGTGCTAATGTTAATAAGACAAATTGCTTTAGGCATGTATACAAAGTTGTGGAGTCAGATGTACCTAGATCCATGTCCTGGCTGACCCCTTTTGTAGTTGAGAGTTTGGACAAGATACTGAATGCAAGTGTTGGGAATGTTCTTGCTAACTCCCAGCATGAACTCATGGGTACAGTGTGTAGCATATGCAGGGGATGAATGGAAGGGGACAAAAGAACTCTAGAAACATGTTACTGTAAGTGGTTTACTTGGATATATTCTTAGGGGCTGATGATGCCTTCCATGGAGGAGTAAGTAGGGCCACTCCTGACTTTAGACTAGAAATCATCTTTACCATTTCAGTTAGAAGAATTTTTTAAAAATCAGTTTATTGCTGGACATGGTAGCACATAACCTTGAAACACAGCATTCAGGAAGATTTCTGAGTTAGAGGACATTTTGATCTATATATCAAGTTCCAAGCTAGTTAGGACTACATAGTGAGACCTTGTCTCAAAAAAACAAAAAAAGAAATGAAAAATGTAATCAACTTATCCAAGTTATATAATAAAATATGTCTACTTGAAGCATCTACTATGGGTCTGACATTCCCAGCTGTGTAAATTGCTCACACTTTAGACATCTGATATGTGCTCATTTGTCCTGCCCCTTGCTCAGAACATACTTTTGAGAGTTACTCAGTTTTGAATGTTCATGGTTTGTTCTTTCTTACTGCTGAGTAGTAGGATATTCTGTTTGTTTTGTAGTGATGGGAATTGAACCCAAGGTCTTGTGCATGCACCACCACCACCTCTGATTCAAGGCTTTCTTTTTTTCTTTTCTTTTAAATATATTCTCAGCTGAGCCATGGTGGCCCACACTTTTAATCCCAGCTCCTGGGAGGCAGAGGCAGGTGGATATCTGAGTTTGAGGCCAGCCTGGTCTACAGAGTTAGTTCCAGGACAGCCAGAGCTGCCCAGAGAAACCCTGTCTTGGGGGGGTTGGAGTGGGGGTGGGAAGGTGGGTTTCTTCTCCTGGGCATGGTGGTCCAAGCAGAGGCAGGCAGTTCTTTGTGAGTTGAGGCTAGACTGGTTTACACAGTGAGTTCTTGGATAGATAGGATCACATATAGAGATGATATCTCAAAAACCCAAAAACATATACATATATTATATATATATATACACACATTCATATATGTATATAATATATAGAATATGTAAATATATTGCTTATATATGTATGTTATGTTTATATTATATTTGTTATATATAAATATGTAGACTGATATATATATATACCATATATAGATATTTTTATATCTATATCATATAAAATAAACTATTACATATTAAATACAAATATATTTATATTAATAAATACTAAATGTGTTTATATATAGAAATATTATCCTTATATACATAAATAAAATATAAAAATAGATACAAATAATATATATTATAGTCTATATGTTTGGTCTCTATATAGTATATATTATATATATTTGTATATGCTACGTGGGGACTTGAGAGATGTCTCAGTGGTTAAGAGCAATGGCTGCTCTTCCAGAGGTCCAGAGTTCAATTCCCAGCAACCATATGGCTCACAACCATCTGTAGTGGGATCTGATGCCCTCATCTGGCATAAAGTTGTACATGAAGATAGAGTGCTCATATACATAAAATAAATAAATCATTTTTAAAAGTTATATAAGCTGTGTGTGTATATATACATGCACATACATATAAACACAAATAAAAAAAGAAACAAAATTACTAAAAAAGTTGACTTAGTTGAGTGTGGTACATGACGGGAAGATTGATATGAGTTCAAGGCCAGCTTAGCTTCATAGTGAGATTCTGTCTTTAAAAAAAGAGTTGGGCTGGGCGTTGGTGGCGCATGCCTTTAATCCCAGCACTTGGGAGGCAGAGGCAGGGAGATCTCTGTGAGTTTGAGGCCAGCCTGGTCTACAGAGAGAGTTCTAGGACAGCCAGAGCTACCCAGAGAAACCCTGTCTTTAACAACAACAAAAATCACAGTGCACATCACAGTAATTTTATTATATTAGAACAATATGTAAATCTTTCACTAACCTCATATAAATCTGAATGAGCATGTTTTTTCCCTCACGGCTGCAAGAGTGTATGAGGGAAAAATTCACATGACTGCCCTTTGGCACTTGGTCCACCTGTAGGGGTTCTCAGGGCCACCTTCCAGGTTTAGTACATAGTGAGAAATAAGAATTCATTTTGTCCTATAGTTATAATTTACAGCAGGGAGCATTTACAGATCACACAAGGACAGATTGCAGAGAGAGTGAAGTACCAGAGGTAGTGCACTGTTGTTGCAGGTGCGTCTCAGTACTTTTGAAGTCCATGACCATATGCATGTAGCATTCCCAGCCAGGGAAAGTGACCTGAGTTTCCATGTAAGGGTGTTTTGTTTTTGGCATCAGGGTTACAAGATGAGCTGGTTACACAGTATATTGGTGGATTTCACTTGAACGGGGCTTTACTGTGTAGCTCACATGGCTGACCTGGATCTACGGTGCTTCCGAAGGATGAGTAATTGACTTTGGATACCCACATTAGATCATGTTGCCACCCATCTGAATTGACCTTGGGGCCCCTATAAATCTTCTGGTCAGTGTGGGTCAAATCCCCAGTGAAGAAGACATTGCTGTGGAGAATGACCAGAGGCTAGATGTTAACTGTCCACAAGCCAGGACAAAGGCCAGGCGTTTATTTGTATGGGATTAAATTTTGTTATTACATATCAAGTGGAACTAAATTCTTTTTTTTTTTCCAATTTGGGACAGAGTTTCTCTGTGTAACAGCCCTGGCTGTCCTGGAACTTGCTTTGTGGTCAGGCTGACCTCAAACTCACAGAAATCTGCCTGCCTCTGCCTCTCAGGTTCTGGGATTAAAGGTGTGTGACACTACCGCCTGGTGGAACTAAATTCTTATTGCCAAAACAGTGCATTCAGCAGCATGAGGGTAATGATGTACATGTTCATTTTTTTTTAAGATTTATTATTTTTATGTGTATGTGTATTTTGCGTGTGTGTGTGTGTGTGTGTGTGTGTGTGTGTGTGTATGTCACATGTGTGCCTGGTGCCCAGGGAGGCTGGAATACTGCATTGGCTCCTCTGGAACTGGGTGCTTGTAGGCAGACATATAGGTGGTGGGACTCAAACCTGGGTCTTCTGGAAGAGCAGCCAGTACTCTTAACTGCTGAACTCTTCCTCTAACCCATTTTCATTGTTTTTGTCCTCCAACCTCATGAGCTATCATTAGCAAGGTTTTCATAGTGAATATTTCCATGAGGAGAGAAAGAATATGTTAGCATTCTGTTTGTGAGAGTTTTTCAACAATGAAAAAAAGAGAATATCTGTGATGTTTCCTGATGTCTGCTCTTTTCTGCCTATACACAGACAGCTGCTATTCCTGATTTCCAGGTATATAATCCTTCTCCAGAATGAAGAGTTCTGTTGGCTTCCTTCTGCCAATTCAGAAAGTAGCTCCTCTTTCAGCAGTCTGTTATAGGTATTGGGGTACCTGTCTGGCAAGTCTAACAGAGTTAAAAATAGTTTATTGAGGCTGGAGATGGCTTACTGTCAAGAGCACTGGTTTCTCTTCCAGAGAACCCAGGTTTGAAGCACATGGTGACTCATAACTATCCAGTTCTAGGGGATATGACATCTTCCTCTGACTTCCATGGGCGCCAGACATACATGTGGTGCATAGACATGGGTGTAGGCAAAATATCCATAACATAAAAAAAGGGAAAAATGTACAGTTGCCTTTGGGAGGTCATTGTGGTTTGGGGATTCAGAATGTCAGGCTAAAAAGGATGATGCCATGTACCCTTCATATTTCTTGGGTGCCCTGACTGAGCCAGAAGTCATTTACAAGCTCAGGAATGTGCTGGAGCTACATGGGTCAGATACTCCTTCCTTCTCACTACCTCACCCTGATCCAATTCAGTGTCCTCTCCATTTTGGGGGGGGTGGGGGGTGGGGTGGGGGTGTTGAGACAGGGTTTCTCTGTGTAGCTTTGGAGGCTGTCCTGGAACTCCCTCTGTAGACCAGGCTGGTCTCAAACTCACAGAGATCTGCTTGCCTCTGCCTCCCGAGTGCTGAGATCAAAGGTGTGCACCACCACAACCCAGCAGTCTTCTCCATTTCCTTCTGTATAGTGTGTCCATGTACACTAGACTGTGATGCTCAGTTGCTTTCGTTTTCTTCTTGTCTTCTTTTTCCAGATAAACATCGAAGACCTTGAGGATGACCTTGTGGTAAACGGGGAGAGATCTGACTGTACCCTGCCAGATGCTGTGTCATCAGGGAACAAAGGAAGGGCTCAACGTGGAAAACCAGAGACAAAGCAAGATGAGGACGTGGCCAAGGCAGGGTCCCCAGAACAGGTACAGGGGGTCATATGGTGATGGAGTGGCTGAGGCGTGTCAGAGAGCCCCAAGGTGCTCGCAGCCTATGCCCTCTACTACCAGTTTCTTGAATTCTTCCGAGTGTGAGTTTATCAATTGTTTGGTTGCCCTGAGGAACCTGGGTGAGGCTTCTGTGGAAATCCGAAGGCCAGTAGTAGCCTCATGGGTACCATTTAGAGTGTCTACCTTCTTTTTTCGAGAGCATCTGTGCCTGATAAGAAAACACAGTCTGGTGAAGCCTGAGTTCTCACAAAAGGACTTGGCTATAGTAGGTATTGCAGGAAAGCAGAGGGAGGACTCACTGCAAGGAACCCTGCCCTAGTGAGTCTCAGTCTTCTGGTAGGTGTAGCATAGCATGGAATGGTTGGCAAAATGAGGAGAGAATGACAGTGGTCAGGTGGCTGGATGGTCCTGTGAGCTATATCTACTGTAGGTCATGGGAAGTCCTGAAGCACGTAAGGCCAGGGGAAGAGAAAGGCCACTCTTGTCATTGAGGAGGACCATGGTAGATTTTTTTTTTTTTTTTTTTTTTTTTTTTTGGTTTTGTGAGACAGGGTTTCTCTGTAGCTTTGGAACCTATCCTGGCACTCACTCTGTAGACCAGGCTGGCTTCGAACTCTCAGAGATCTACCTGCTTCTGCCTCCCAAGAGTTGGGACTAAAGGCGTGTACCACCAACGCCCGGCTGGTAGATGTTTTTTATTGCAGAAACACTAGTGGATTGGAAGGACTTAAGGATATAGGAGGAGGAATGGGGACTACCACACTGGAGATTGAACTTGTTCCTTAAATTTTTATTTGTTTGCTTATTTACTTATTTTGGTTTTTCAAGACAGGGTTTAAATTTTTTTTTTTTTTTTTTTTTTTTTTTTTTTTTTAATTCAGAGTCTTACTGTATAGCCCTGGCTAGCCTGGCCTCAAACTCAGAGATCCACCTGTGTCTGCCTTCTAAGTTCTGGGATTAAAGGCATGCATCACCATGCCTGGCTGTTGCATAGTTCTTAATGTTTCCAGTTTTATTTCTTTCCATTGATTTAAATGTCTCCTTCCATTAGTCTAATGCAAGTGGCAAACTCCGAAAGAAGAAAAAGAAGCAGAAAAATAAGAAAAACTGCACAGGAGACTCCTCGGTATGTTGTCAAATGGGCTGGTTCCCTGCTGGTCCCTCAGGCTTTTCTGGAGAAAGTTTTGTTTTATTGAGCACTTTGGTTGCTTCCCACTGAAGTGTAACTGAGAGGTCAGGAGAACTAAAGGGAAAATCACTTAGAAGTCTTGCTCTGTCTTGTGCTCTCTCTGGTTATCAGACCCCACTCTTTTGTTTTGTGTTTTGAGGTGAGTGATCCTTTTAGATCTCTTCCCTGCTCAACTTACTTTTGTCTTAAATTGGCTTAAATTGCTAGTGAGTGTAGAAGCCACTGTGGACCTATCATCAGATGGTACAGACCTGTTGCTGCCTCATGTCCCATGTCTTACTCTTAGTTCTGAAAAGAAGTCATGGCTTTGTTACTCTCCAGTGAAGGGTCATGACTCAGCATACCCAGGGAGGTAAGGTCTTCTAAAGGACTTAATGTGCTATTTTAGCCTGTGATTTCAGGGCCCTCTGAGTCTGTGATTCCAGCTCTTCTGGCTTTCTCTAGTGAGACATGTCTCCTTTCTGAATGTATGTGCAGCATATGATCATGTCTTTTAGGAAGTAAATCAGTATAATCATCCTTTTTCAAAATACATCATTCTGTCCCTGATGGTTATAATATTGAAAGTAAAGTCAGAGCCAGGTATGGTGTTACATGCCTAGAATCCTAGCAGTGAAAGTCAGCGTAATGATTAACAGGTTGTTCTGACTTTTAGGAAAATGGGCTAGAGGATATTGATCGTATCTTAGAGAGGATCGAAGACAGCAGTGGGTTCAGCCACCCAGGCCCCCCTCCACTGAACTCCAGGAAGCAAGTCCTATATGTGGAGCACAGGTATAGCCCTGCCCTCACTTCATGAGAGAAAAACAATATTTGAAAAAAAGGCAGAAGAAAATTTACTATCTCTTTTTCAGCCAGATCTGGTGATATACACTTGTAATCCCAGTCCCAGCACTTGGGAAGTAGAGGCAGGAGAACAGGGAGTTCAAGGCCAGCCTGGGCTGCATAAGATTAATACAAAAAAGAAAGAAAATGTACTATATTTTTTTGGACAGTGGCAAGGTGTAGGGTTGCAGTTCAGTGGTAGAATGTGCACCTAGCATGTGGAATACCCTGGATTCGGTCCCCTGTGCCACAAGCTTCACATTCAATTCCTTTAAAAAAACAAAATGAAGCAATGTAGTGCTGGGTATGGTGGCTTATGCTTGTAATCCTAGCACTCATTAGGTTGAAGCAGAAAGATTTCCACAAGTTCAAGGACAGTCTAGGCTACAGAATGAGGCACTCTGCCTCAAAAACAAATAAATCAAGTTTGTTTAAGAAATAACGAGAAGGAAGAAACACTCATCCATATTTCACAGGACTAAGCTTTATGTATCTTGGATTCTTGAACTGTGTAGAGCACCAGCTCACATTTGGATCAGTATCCACATGTTGGCTTTGCAGATACTCAGTGAAACATAGTTCTTACTACAGAGGTTGTTGCCAGCTTTTTGAGAGTGAGTCTCACAATGTGCTCAAGGCTGGCTGGGACTTCTGATCCTCCTGCCTCAGCCTTCCAAGTGCTCAGATTACAGTTGTTCATCACCCTGCCAAGCTTGCTACTAGATCCTTATGTGAATTTATAAAAAGTTAGAGTTATTGTAAAAGATCATAATTTTTCTTTCTAAACTTTTTCCTCAGACACTTAAATCCAGATACAGAACTGAAAAGGTATTTTGGTGCTCGAGCGGTCCTGGGAGAACAAAGGTGAGACCCTAGTCAATCCATGTTCTTCAAGTTCTGTCAGTCTTTCTCAGACCCTAGAGGGAAGGGTATGTAGAGGGATACTGAGGCAGAAAGATTGCCATGAGTTCTTCCTAGAGGGAAAGTATTTACATCCATAGTGAATCACATCAGACTCTTAGCATTGAGTCTGAAGTGATTCAAAAGAAATGATTTGTGAAATCATTAAGATCCCCATGGAGCTGGGCTATGCCCCTCATGCCTTCTTCTCTAGGGTATATGTCATATTTTTACAAAGATGCTAAAGACCTTGTGGTTCCAAGTCCCATTTTTGTTTTTCAATCAGCAACTAATGTAATGCAAAGTTGAGGTGATAAGAGATGTTGCATCTGTGGTGGTTTATTAGTTCTTAGTGTCTGGACAGCATGTCACAGGGATAGCATTGCAGCGTGTCCATGATTCCCTAAAGGAAAAGGGTACAAGGGTCTACCTTTGGGAATTTTGTTAGGAAGCACTGTGTATTCTCTCTGCTTCTCCATCAGAATGTCTAGGAAGCTTTATCTTTGTTTATGACAGGGTTCCCTCTGTGGCCCAGAACTTGAATTCTCTATCCTTCTGCCTCAGCCCCTCAAGTGCTATGATTGTAGACTTGTGCTATCAAGGCTAGCTTAGCACTGTCTTTTTATTTTTTTAAAAAAGATTTTATTTATATTGATAAGATAAAAATATAGCCTTTGTATATGAAAATGCACTCATGTTTGCATGTATGAAAATGCATCTTATACATGCAATACCTGCAGAAGCCAGAAGAGGATGTCGGGTCTTCTGGAATTGTTGTTACCTACAATTTTTAGCATACATGTGAGTGGTGGGAACCCAGACTTTCTACAAGGGCAGCAAGTGCTCTTAATAGCTGAGCCATTTTTTTCAGCCTCTAGAATTATCTATATAAGTTTTGTGGATTTTTTTCCTAATTGTCAAACAAGTGCTTCTTATGAAAAATTTAACCAATTTAGTCATTTGACCTTTGACTTTCATTCTCTCACCACATCCCCAAGTTATTTTTGATTACTGACTTTATATCCAGGGCACATGCCAATACTTGCTTTATATTACCATGAGAGAATTCTGTTGGTCACTGTAACAGCCTGGTTTGTGTATCTGGTTTTCTAAGTTATCATTTCCATTGCTGTGACATACCAGGGTTGGGTACTTACCCCAGATGCTGGGTTGTGTGCTGCTCTTGGCTGTCATCCCATGGCTCCACAGCATTTTGTGAAACTGAGAGCTGTCTGCTGCCAAGCTACCCTCAGAGGAGCTGTGTAGCTAAGATCCACACTCCATCCAGGGTCAGCTTCTCATAGCACATATATGTTTTTGGAGTTTTGGTGTTGTCCTCTTTTTTTTTTTTTTTTCTGAAATTATGACTAAAGTTCACTGATTTTTCATTTGCTGTGTACTCCTATTTTCCAAGGGGTTTTTGTTTGTTTGGGCTTTTTCTTTCTTTTTTTTGGGGGGGGGTAAAATCTCACTATATTGTAATAGCTAGCCTGGAACTTAGTGTATACACCACCCTAGCCCGGACTTCAGAGAGATCTACCTGCTCCTGTTCCCCAAGTACTGGGATTAAAGTTATATGACACCATGCCTGACATAATTATCTATTTCTTTTTTCATCATTTTAGTGTTTAATTTTCCTGACTTTGATGTCTTCTTTTGGGAGCATTGATGAAAAATATTAATACTTTAAATGTTCTCTTTTGGGACTGGGATTACAGGCTCATTTGGTAGAGTGCTTGCCTAGCATACTTGAAGTCCTGGGTTTGATCCTCAACAGCACATAACTGAGTCATGTTAACATACTGTACTCCCAGGACTTGGGAGGAGGAGGCAGGAGGACCAGGAACCCTCTCCTGCACAGGGATTCAGTCTGTCATAGTGGGAAAGGCATGGTAGCAGGATTGTGGGGTAGCAGGTCATATTCTGTCCACGGTCAGAGAGGAGGAGGGAGAGAGAGAGAGAGAGAGAGAGAGAGAGAGAGAGAGAGAGAGAGAGATATCCTGGTGCTCAAAATCTTTCTCCCTTTTCACCCGTTATTGAGTCCAACATCCCAGCCCTGAGGTTGGTGCTGTTCACATTCAGGGTAAGTCTTTCTATAAGTGCCCTTACAAACATACCCAGAGGTATGTCTTAGTAATTCCAAATATTGTGACAATGAGGGTTGTTAATCCTCCTGCTCTCTCTCCCCTGCAACCCTGCTTTGTCTATCTGCCATTTCATTATAGTTTTATGTCCTGTTTCTGTAAATTATAGTTATGATATTAATTAATAATTATATTTATTTCATTATATATAGTGCTAGGGTTAGATCTACAGCCTTACAGATGCTGAGTACACATTGACCATTCCGCAATCCTGGTCTTGTACTCATGAACTCATCACTCAGTAGTGGTTTTGAACTGCTGAACAGCTGGGACTATAGGCAGGCACCACCTTGACCTCAGTTCATTTGTTACTTTAATAGTATTATATTTATTTCTTAAAAGCTTTTAAGTTGGGTCAGAGAGGTGGCTCAGAGAGTCAAATTGCCTACTGCCAAGTTCAGTCCTAGAAACGGACATGATGGAAGGAGAAACCAATTTCCCTAAGTTGTCCTCTAACCTCCACATTGGAACCATGGCACATACATGCCCACACATGTGTGCATGAGTGTGAACACAAGTACATGAATCAGTTTTAAAATGTAAAAAACAAGCTAGAGCACTGATTTAGCAGTTCAGAGTACTTGTTGCTCTTGCAGAAATCCTGGTTCTATTCCTAGCATTCACGTGGCAGCCCACAACCATCTATAACTCTAGTCCCAGGGAATCTAACACTTTTTTCTGACATCCACTGGTACCAGGTATGCTCATAGTACAAATATATATTTGTATACAAAACATTCATAGCCGGGAGTTGGTGGCACATGCCTTTAATCTCAGATTCAGGAGGCAGAGGCAGGTGGATCTCTGTGAGTTTGAGGCCAGCCTGATCTACAAAGTGAGTTCCAGGACAGCCTCCAAAGCTACAGAGAAACCCTGTCTTGAAAAACCAAAAAAAAAAAAAAAAAGCCAAAAGAAAACCCAAAAGAAATCAAACAAACAAAATTCATATACATAAAACAGATCTTAAAAAGGCTTTTTAAAACAAAAGTTTGGTTTTTGTTTTGTTTGGGGTTTGGTTTTTCAAGACAGAGTTTCTTTGTGTAGCCTTGCTTGTCCTGGAACTAGCTCTGTAGACTAGGCTGCACCCAAACTCACAAAGATCAGCCTGTCTCTGCCTCACAAGTGCTGGGATTAAAGATTTGTGCTATCACTGCCCAGCTGAAACAAAAGATTTTTAAAAAACACAGTCCTTTGCTAGACAAGGTGGTGCTCACCTATAATCCCTGTGCTTAGGAAGCTGAAGCAGGGGATATTAAGTTCAAGGCTAGACTAGGCTACATAAAAAGTCCCTGGGTAAAAACATAAAATGTTAACAACAAAAACAAAACAAAACACAGTTATTTCCTACCAAAGATTTCTCCTAGAAGCTACAATGTTTTACCCCTTTCATTCTCCATCCTTCCTCTGCTGCTTTGAGTCAAAGCTTTGAGCCTTTTCTTCTTCCAGTGTGGTCATTGCTCTTTTGGGGACCTCATCTTCCTGATGTGACAATATCTGTCCAAAGCTCCTCCCCAAACCCTTCTGAGCGTGCCCACTATGTGGGTATGAGAACCTCAAGGTGTTCCTCTGTACCCTAAATACCCCCCTCCAGGAAAAGGCTCACTTCAGGACTAGGCAGAGTGGCCTTCCCAGATCCTGTTGGCTTGGGCAAGTTCACTTGTCATGTCCTACCAGGAACTGTTTGTGGGTTAACTGCCTGTCTTATTTTCCTTCAGATTTTGACTATGTTTCTCTAATACACTTGGTTTTCTCCTGCAGTTATTTTATTTCTCTTTGAGAGGAAAAAAAAAATAAGCTTTTCTATTTTGTTCCTGAAAATACAACTTATTACTCATTCTTTTCAAAGTAGCTCAAATTATCAAGGACGCAGAATAACATATATCCAAACTCACTCGGATCAACCCAACTCTTTCCCTCCTGGAAGCAAAACCCTCCTTCTTCCTCCCGCGCCACCTGTGTCCTACTGGTCACCATCTGATCAGGTGGGAAGGTGGGGAGGCTTTGGCCCCTCTAATCCATGCAAAATCTATGTGAGGACCTTGGCCTCCCTTTCTCTGCAAACCTTCAGTGTGCTTCTGTCAGGCTAATGTCTTTCCAGAAATGTGTTAGTGCCCTTCAGTGTTCTTCCTTATTGCCATTGCTTCCTTTTTAAACATTGCTGTGTTGATGTATTAGTCAGGTGTTCATCTCATTCCCTTGCACTCAGCCATAACCAAGGGTTACTTTTGTTCAGCCAGATGCCCAAGGGGAGCCAGCTCATAGCTCACATGTGTCAGCAGAATACTCTCAGGCCTGGCTTATTCTTACTGTTTTTTTGTTTTTGTTTTTTTTGTTTGTTTGTTTGGTTTGGTTTTTCGAGACAGGGTTTCTCTGTGGCTTTGGAGGCTGTCCTGGCACTCGCTCTGGAGACCAGGCTGGCATGGAACTCACAGAGATCCACCTGCCTCTGCCTCCCGAGTGCTGGGATTAAAGGTATGCACCACCACCGCCTGACTAGGCTTTCATTTTTTGGTTTTCTTATTCATGCTCCTGCTTTTTTGTTTAAGACAGGGTCTCACTATGTATCTTTGGATGTCTGGAGCTCTCTGTGTAAACCAAGCCAGCCTCAAACTCACATCTGCTTCTTGAGTAGTGGGATTAAAGCTGTGTGCTGCCACACCTGGCCCAGTCTGCCTTTTTATTGGACTGTTTGGACTTTGTCTTTTATTTTGTTGTTGCTGTGGATGAACCTAGAGCCTCATATGTGCTGGGGAAGTTGTCAGAGTTTTACCTCCAGCCTGAATTCCCTTTTCTGTTACTCTGGCTCTGTGGTGGTGGCTGCTCTGTTGCTCATGCTGTGTTCTATCCGCCCTCATCTTGCCCACTAGCCTCTACTCACTTCTCTTCTGAGTATCTTCCCTGCCTGCACTTGAGTTTCACAGTTCCCATGGAGACCAGGCAGACCAGCCTTATCCCTCTTCACCATGGGAAGTATAACTGTGCTGCGTTCTGTTTCTCCAGGCCTCGACAAAGACAGCGTGTATATCCCAAGTGTACATGGCTGACAACCCCTAAGAGCACTTGGCCCCGATATAGCAAACCAGGTGAGGTCCTGCTGGGTTGGGCAATGACTTAGATCTTTTTACTATTATTCTTAGTTCTTTTCGGCAGTCACATTTGTTTTAAATTGCTATGGTTTTCTGTTTCATAGCAAGCTACCTAATATATATATATAATTTAAAGAAAGAGGGTAGCAGTACAGAGATGCAAGAGGGCATGAAGTAAATGTCTTCTTTAGGTACTTAGCTGTGTGGCATGGGAGTGTCCAGAGACCCTTTTCCATGCTTCGATTGACAGGAATGAAAGCCCCTCAGAGGATAAGGTCAGGGAACTCCACAGTGGTGTATGCCTGCCCCTCCCCCAACAGTCCTGGCTTTTCTGTGCTGTTGAAGACCTGTGTAGGAGCTCTGGGCCTGTGCACTGGTGCCTAACAGTATCTTTTGTCCCTGCCAGGCCTCTTGCCTTGCCAGCAAGAACACCTACACATGCAGGCAAACTTATTGACCATGTAGTCCTGCTATAGTCTCTGGCCTTAGGTAGGACCATTTTAAGAGGGAAACTTAGGAGACCAAGAATTACTGGCCTGTTTAATGGAAATTTGCCAGGGGAAAATGTCCCTGTATACCCAACATTGTATATAAGGAGCAGAGAAAGAGTCTCTAGTCATAAGTCACCATCACCTGTGGGACCTGGTGCATCGCTCACTGCATAACCACTTTGGATGCTAATCCCAAAAACCTGGACATAGTTTTCCCACTAGGCAGATACATGTGCTATAGTCTCTAGTATAGCTCCTAGCCAGCTAAGCTGACCTGGCATGTTTCCTTACTGTGTATACTCTGGATGGATCTGAGGAAGCAAAACAGACAGGACTCTAAGTCTTGGTATAGCTCATGCAATTTGAGCAGGTCTAAGCACTCTGCAAGAGCTCTTGACAGATATCAGCTTATAGCCTGTACAGCACCAGACACTCAGCTTGAGTTGTGTTCATGTGGCATATTTGTGCCAGGAACAACAGTAGGATTGTGACTGCTCAGAGCTGTGGGGTTCTACAAAGTGCCACAGCCTGGCCTCCAGCACACCCTCCCCAAACAATATTTCTTCCAGGTCTGTCAATGCGGCTGCTGGAATCCAAGAAAGGCCTTTCTTTCTTTGCATTTGAGCATAGTGAGGAGTACCAGCAAGCACAGCACAAGTTCCTGGTGGCTGTGGAGTCTATGGAGCCAAATAACATTGTGGTACGTAACCCTGCAGCTTCTGATGGGTGGGGATCAAGCAGTGTACTGTGCCTGGGCCAGGCCCCTCTGTGATTTGGGGAAGCTTGTCTGAGAGCAGCTGCTTCCCCTAAGAATGGAAGATGCCTGAGTGCAGAGCAATCAAACCCTGTGTTCAGAGGAAGTGTGCTTGCGACTAGCAGTGTAGCTTCTTCTCAGGTGAGAGCCACACACTGCTCTCGATTCCCTTCTGCAAACTGTGTCCAGGGCATTGTGGGATCTTTTCCCAGCTGTCTTTGCCTTTAACTTTGGTGATATAGCATAGGGAATGCTTGATTCCTTTTTTCCATGTAGCTTGTCCCTTCTGTGCTGTTGCAGTCTGTGTTTTCTCTGAGTACCCTGCCAGCCACAGTTGAGTTTGCTGAGGGCAAAGAGGAGCGCTCATCCTTTGTGTATACTTGTGTACCTGACCCCTGAGTGACGTCCATTCCTTTGAGGAGAAGAAAAATGCTAGTTTCCATTGCTCTTGGTTGGGAAAATTAGGCCAATGCTGAATTCCCACCTTGAACTAGATCAGTGGTTCAGCTTAGTCACAACATCACATACCTTGAGTTACAAGTGAACCATGAGCCACACATGGTGGTGTGTGCCTTTAATCCCAGCACTTGGGAGGCAGAGGTAGGTGGATCTCTTGAATTACATAGTGAATTCTAGGCCAACCAAAGATACATAGTAAACCCTGTCTTAAAAAAAAAAAACCCCAAAAACTAGCCAGGCAATAGGGGCTTACCCTTTAATCCCAACACTCAGGAGGCAGAGACAGGTAGATCTCGGTGAGTTTGAGGCCAGCCTGGTCTACAGAGCAAGTTCCAGGACAGCCTCCAACACTACAGAGAAACCCAGTCTCAAAAACAAACAAACAAACAAAAACTAGGGCTGGAGAGATAGCTCAGTTGTTAAGAACACTGGTTGCTCTTCCAGAAGTCCTGAGTTCAATTCCCAGCAACCACCATGGTGGCTCATAACTATTTATTTTGGGATCTGATGCCCTCTTCTGGCATAAAGTTATATATGCAGACAAAGTACTCGTATACATTAAATAAACAAATACAGCTTTAGAAAAAAAAAAAGACTGAAAACAACAAAACAAGCTATGACTTTCATTGGTGATCATTTTTTCTCAGCATGGGACATGGCCCCGTGCCCTCTGGGGCATGTCTAATGATGGTGCTACCTACAATTTTTCTCTAAAACTATCTTTCTTTCCAACAGGTTCTGCTCCAGACAAGTCCCTATCATGTTGACTCACTTCTGCAGCTCAGTGATGCCTGTCGCTTTCAGGAGGATCAAGAGATGGCTCGAGACCTTATAGGTGAGCCAGCTTACCTGCACTTGCCACTCCAGCTCTCAGGCAAATGCTACTTCATGAGATGACAATGGATGTTTCATGGAGATAGAATTCACTTGCATAGAATGTACAATTCATTGCTTTTAGTATATGCCAGTTGTATAGCCTTTATCACAATCTGTATCTGTCAATTTTAAAGCTCCTTTGTCTGTGTAAGCAGTTCCTGTCCTTCAGTCCTAGGAACTACTCGTATACTCTGTCAGCAGTTGTGCTTGAAGTGTAGAGTTCACGCAAACATGTGGCCGTTGTGTTGGCTTCTTTCATTTACCATCTTTTTTATCCCTGTTGGAGCATGTTTCATATTTGCACCTGTTTGTTGCTGTATAATACTTCATCTGTGTGTAGATTGCATTTTCTGTATCTATCATTAGTTGATGGACATTTAGGTTGTTTTCTGGCATTTGGTAATGGTGCTGCTGTGACTATGCATGTGCAGGTTTTGTGAGGATGCATGTTGGTGTACATGTATGGGTACTTAGTGTTAGCAGATCACAGCACCAGTTGTATCTCTTGGTATATGAAGCATTTCCCTTTGGAGCTTACAAATGTATGTTGCAGTAAACTTAGAGTCACTGAGGAATGCCTGGGAAGTCCTGTGTGCGCCCTCTCTCTTTCAGGGTTCCAGTTACATGACCTCCCTCATTCCAGAACATTCCTTGTTTTGAGTTGTTAGAGGAGAAAGTTATAGTCATTGTGTCTGTGACACCCTCCTCTGGTATTTGTGGCCCACAGAGAGAGCACTGTACAGCATGGAGTGTGCATTCCACCCCTTGTTCAGTCTCACCAGTGGGACTTGCAGGCTGGATTACCGCAGACCTGAGAACAGGTGAGTTTGGTCCACCCTAGAGTGAGTAACAGGGGCTACCTTCAAGTCACATGAGTGACTGTTGTGAGTTTAGTGGGGAACAGGTAATGCAAGACTGTCCCTGAGGTTGGATCAAGGCCCTGAAGATCCAGAGTACCTTCTAAGTTTTGGTGTGTTCACAGCTGAACTGCAGAGGGCTGTGCTCAGGGAACTAGGAATCAGATTGGCTCACAATTAAACCTATTCCAGTTATAAGTGAGTCCGATGAGCCACAGAACAGTGAGAGCTGGAATCGTGCTTCCCATGTTTTTGGAGGAAAAGCCCCATTCCCAGTGAGGTGAAACTATTGTAGTATTGTAGCATGTTTTGCAGTTGTGTCTCCTGATTCTTACATCTGAGATAAGCACGGATTCAGCTTAACTTCAGGGATCACGCAGAGAGTACTCTGTTTTCCAAGTTTCTCTAAGCCTGCCCACTCTCTGGTTTTAGCCCGTATGGGTCTCCCTTCCTCCCTCACATCTAGCACTCTGTTTCTCTGGATATCCCTGGTCTGTTGTAGCAAGAAGTCCCCCACCTTAGCCACAGCCATTGTCTGCTCTCAAGCACAGAGTGTTGGGTCTGGATCTCTTTCTCTGGGCTCCTATATATCGCTTTTATCTCTTCTAGTTAAATTCTTACTTCTTTGAAACAGGTCCTCAAATTAAGTTACCAAGATGACTAAAGTCATCCAGCTTTATGCATCCAGATGTAATGCTATGACAACTGTTAAAATCTGAGCATAAGTTAAGAGTATAATTATATGGGTTTTAATTCTTTTCCTTTAATGGTAATCAGTAAATAACTAGCAAGAAGACAGATTTTGCTAGATGTGGTGGCACATGCCTGTAGTCACAGCACTGAGAGGTAGGAATCAATCAGTTGAGGTCATCTTTGATTATGTAGTAAATTTGATGCCAGCCTGGGCTACATAAGATCCCCTCTTAAGAAACCAGAAAAGAAAAAAAAAAAAAAGAAAGAAAAAGAAGACAGGGGTTTCATCACATACTAGATAGTGGCACCTGTGAACAGATTTGGCATTCTGAAGTAGGAAGATCTCTTGAGCCAATTTATTCAAGGTCAGAGTTGGCAGCATAGTCAGACCATGTCTCAAGACTGGAAAAGCTTGATTTTCCTGTCTAAGTACATTCATAATTAAATAACAAGGAGCACATATTTCCTCCAGACATGCAGGCAATATTCACAAACACGATTATATCTAGCCATTCAGGAAATGCTGTCTCAACCCAGAGAGTAGACACAGTGCTGGGCTTCTTAGTTGTCATGTTCTGCTGCTTTTCTGTCACTAATTCATGGGTAACTGTCCTTGATCTAGGAGCTTCTACCTGGCCCTCTACAAGCAGATGAGTTTCTTGGAGAAGCGAGGATGCCCACGTACTGCACTGGAGTACTGCAAGCTCATCCTGAGGTGAGTATTCACTTTGACTGCATGGCCACCTGTCCCCACCACAGTGATCCCAGATTTGTGGGGACTCCAGCCATGACAACACTTCCTCTGTCTCCCTTGTTCTCCACTTAACTGTGCTGCCTCCGGAAGCCTTGAGCCAGATGAGGACCCCCTGTGCATGCTGCTGCTTATTGACCATCTGGCCTTACGGGCCCGGAATTATGAGTACCTGATCCGCCTCTTCCAGGAGTGGGAGGTATGTGTAAGCCATGTGCTGTGACTTGCAAGTGCAGCTGTGTGTCTCCCTTACCTTTCTTATCCACACCCTAAGTGTTTGAGGGACAGTTTTATGATAAGATGGTGAAGGCATGAGTCAGAGCTCAGGTAGATCCCAAGGGTCCCCTTCTTTTCTGGCTTCCTTGTTATCTCTGCTGGATAAGATCCAGTCTTCCTAGAGGGTGTCCAGCAGCCTTTCAAGAACCCCATTTCACAGGTCTACACCAAGTACATATGCACAAACAGTGGTACTAGTAGTGATGAAAAGTTGGGTTAACCCCAGAAGTCACTGTGTCCGTGTAAGAAGCAACCATGAGCTGGACAGTGGTGGTGCACACCTTTAATCCCAGCACTTGGGAGGCAGAGGCAGACGGATCTCTGTGAGTGTGAGACCAGCCTAGTCTACAAGAGCTAGTTCCAGGATAGCCTCCAAAGCCACAGAGAAACCCTGTCTGGAAAAAAAAGAAAAAAGAAGTAACCATGAAGTAAAGCGCCATGTGGGGTGACATAGGGAACCTCAGCATACAGACCCACATTCTGCAGAAATGCTGGATAGACAATCATAAACCAGTCACTTGTGCCTTGCCAGATTTACATGTAACTAAAAATGAAGGATAGCCTGACACCACACTGCTGCCATCTGGCCCAGCCGCTGTGAATGCTAAATGCACCTTGTGTGCCAGACAACACCAGAAAAAACATAACTGTCTTGTCCATGAATGTGGACATGTGTTGAAGTGACAATTTCAGTTTATTGGGCTAACCACCATGCTTTAAGATCAGTTCTGCCATTCTCCATAATGCAACTGCTAGACAGTGTAAAGAAGTACAGGACTCCCATCCCATCCCATGGTTGGTTCTTGTCAGAAAAGAGAGGCATTGGGTTTTGTGCTGGTTGCTTCCAGCAGGACCTAGTAAGGGAGAAAGGTGATAAGCCTGTGTTTTCTGTTTCTACTTTTGAGTGTTTTTCACAGTGCATATTTTTCCATTATCAAAAAAGAGATAAACCTTTTTCTTTTTTCTTTTTTTTTTTTTTTGTTTTTTGTTTTTTGTTTTGTTTTTCAAGACAGGGTTTCTCTATGTAGCTTTGGAGCCTCTCCTGGCACTCTGTAGACCAGGCTGGCCTTGAATTCACGGAAATCCACTGGCATCTGCCTCCTAAGTGCTGGGATTAAAGGCGTGCACCACCACTGCCCAGATGAGATAAATAATTTAAGTACATAATGTTTGATATAGTTGGCCAGGAAATTTTGCTTTTTGGGATCTGATTTATAGAATCCCTGGAGCTCATGAAAGCATGGCTACAGGAAATGCCAAAGAGGGCTGCAGGTGAGTGATCATTATGGCTTATGTGGTTGTAGAATAAAACCAGTTATTGTAGGGACAGGGCAGGGGCAGGTACATTGGCTAACTAGCCTAGATAAATTGATGCTCTTCGGGTATGGAGAAGAGATCTTGTCTCAGAGCATGAAGGTAGAGAAGCAGAGACATGGCTTAGCAGGTAAAGGCACTTGACACCAAGCCTGATAACTTAATCCTTAGAACCTCATAGTGTAAGGAAAGGGCTGACTTCCGCAAGCTGTCCTCCGACCTCTACACATGTGCCATAGTGTCCATGTATACATATACATACATACCAAATAAATAGATAAGTCAATGGTTTTTAAAAAGCTAAGAAATGAAATCAATCTGTAGAACAGTTGAGGAAATACGCCCAGTATTGATCTCCAGCCTCAGCACTCGTGTACATGTGTGCATGCACTTTTCATACACGATAGAGAAGACATAGAACAAGTCACTTGTCTTCTCACAAACCATAGAGAAAGAAAGGGAAGTACTGGAAAACACTTGTAGGTTAGGTGGCATCAGATCTCACTTTTGATGACTTCCTTTATGAGCTTTCTGCATAGGCAAGAGGGCTGACTTCCCTGCTTCCACAGCTGCAAGTCTAGGCAGCGGACATCCATCCTTAGTGACTCTGAGGCTCCTGCCTCCTGCTGTAGTATCAGTCATCTGACTGAGCTGATTCCTACCCGTCTGTGTCCTTCTGTGTTTTTTATATGTAGAAAATGGATTTTCTTCATCCCGAGTTAAGTTGAAAGGCCCACAAGGAAGCAGTTGTAGGACTCACCTGGCATCCGGTGCAAACTATGTGTTTTGTCTTCACAAGCTTAAGGTCTGGGCTTTGTTTCTTCATCCATTATAGGCACATCGGAACCTGTCGCAACTCCCAAATTTTGCCTTCTCGGTCCCATTGGCATATTTCCTTCTGAGTCAGCAAACAGACTTACCTGAGCATGAGCTCACCTCTGCCAGGCAACAAGCTTCCCTCCTGATACAGCAGGCACTTACCATGTTCCCTGGAGGTAAGTGCCACCTCTTGTCTGGGGAGGTAACTTTTCTTCTTTCTTGGGGATTGAATGTAGATCCAGCCCTCCCCATACTTAATGGAAAGATTGCATTCCCTTAAAGGCCTTAAAGACTTGCTGTAGTTCTAGCTAATCTACCCACTTCTGTGAGCCTACTACAAGTCTGGTAAGGAGGGAGGGACAAATGTCTTCTCTGGAGTTTAGTTTCCGGATGGAAGAGTAGAGCATTTTCCAGAGCACACTGTATGTTAGATGGTCTTTGGTAATAGAGGAAAAAAGCAGAAGTAGTGTCTAGAAATGCCTGAGGCTAGCCCAGAGACAGTTGAAGGGCATTGACTATGAGTAGCCAGAAGAAGGCCCTGGTGTACTGCCAAGGCATTCTCACAGACATGAGGCCAGGAAAGTAAGGTGATTACCTGCCCAGATATTTCCTAAGATTGTACACAAAGTGACACTGACATAAGATTCCTATGGGGCCAACTTCTTCTCTGTTAGAAAGTCTCAGAATTGGTACCACATTGAAGATTCTGAGTTCTTTAAGCCTTGGCCAGAACTCTTGCCTACCAACCAGACTATTTGCTGACCCAGTGAGGGTCAGTGCCTATTTGCTGACCCAGTGAGGGTCAGTTCCATTATAAGCTGCTTATGCCCCCTCTGTGGTCTGATGTAGCTAGCAGTGCCTTTTCTGCTGACCAGCTGAAGAGCCATAGACTGGTAGTCAGTTCATGTGCTGTACTGCTGAGCAAGCACTACCTCCTCACAGGATGCTGCAGCATGAGCATATCCCCAGGAAGTCACCGGGAAGACTATGCTGTGTTCTCTGTTTAGAGAAGCCAACACTTTGGTGAACAGCACTACATGCAAGGGGAGCCCTGTGTTGGTCACCGATCTGATCCTAGTCCCTGCAAAGTTAGCTCTTGCAGGGCACAGTCAGCCCCTCTCTCTCTAGTCTACCTTCATGTCTGACCTTCATATGACCAAAACAACCACCCTTGGAGGTGACAGGCAAGTCTTCCTTGGATGCAGATGGAATAAGAGTCAACAGGACATGCATCTACTTCCCCAGGGTTCAGAGGTATCTTGGAGCCTAGTGTGAGATCCAGGAACAAATTTGTAATGCTAGTCAGAAACGACCCCTTGACTATCCAGCTTCTTTTACCTTAAGAACACTTAGTGGCTGGGAGACAGCACAACAAGGACTGCAGAATACATGGATCCTTTACTTTGTGTTTGTTTGTCTGTATTTTGCAGCTCTTATGCCATTGCTGGAGTATTGCAGTGTGCGGCCTGATGCAACAGTCTCAAACCACCGCTTCTTTGGGCCAGATGCTGAGATAAGGTAAGGATGTGTGCCTGCAGGCACAGTTCCCCTCATCCTTAAAGGAAGAGAGGAGCCTGTCTTGGGGGTCTGCTATCCAGCTTATCCCTAGAGCCCACACCCATGTGTAAAATATCTCTCCTCTGTGGGGCAGGTGAGCAGCCTCTAGTCTAAAAAATGAAGTTCACTCATGATCTTTACTATCATTAATTTCCCCCAGATTTCTATGTTGTCACATTTCTCATAAACAAGAAAAAATCACAGAAAAAAGAACAATGTATATCATGTCATGGCTCCCACCCTTCCTACAGGCTCCTAATCAGCAGCTGTAGGCCATACTCTGGTACTGTTCCACACGGGAAAACATACTCATTCTTTGTTTTTCACATTTCTTTCAAGTGATTTGTATTACTAAACTCAAGCAATAGGAAGTGTGCTCAACCACTCAGGAATACTCAACCCTCAGAGGGTGGAATATCCCTGGTCAGTGGCCGAGAGGTAGTCTCCTTTAGTCTTGAGGCACAAGGCTTTTCCTGGATATCCCTTTGCCCACCATAGAGCACTGCCAAAGGTCAGCTTTCCTTGCTTTTCCACAGCCAGCCCCCTGCCCTGAGCCAGCTGGTGAGTCTGTACCTTGGGAGGTCACACTTTCTTTGGAAAGAACCCGCCACTATGAGCTGGCTGGAGGAAAACGTCCGCGAGGTTCTTCAAGCAGTGGATGCTGGGGACTCTGCTGTGGAGGCCTGTGAGAATAGGTGAGCTGAGCCTGACAGATAAGTCAAAGAACCTTGCTCAGGGAGGGCACCCTGCTGGCGCTTGTCCTTTCTGTGTCTCCTGGGTCTTTATCATAGACATGTGCCGCACCTGCACAGCCTGGGATCGAGAATCTGTGGAGGGTGTCAGGATTAACAACACAGAGAGCTGGCTTGGTGGTTAGAAGGCTCTTTATTTTTTTTTCCTGGGCTGGTTTATACCCTAGCACCAGAAAAGGGAGGGGGAGCTCAGGAAGAGGCAGTTAGTCTCAAGCCTGGGTTCAGGGAGGAAAACAACATTCTGCAAAACATGTTTTGCAACGGCATTGGGGGGTTGTTGGGTTTCTGTCAGGGTCACTTTTTTCCCACAGACATGGGGCCTCTGATTTCAGCTTGACTTTGAAGGAGCCACCAGGAGGTGCTGGCTGGGCATGGCTGCTGCTATTCACATAGAAATGTGAAGGGGTGTGTGGTTGTTATGTGCCCTAGTGGTTTTGTTTAGTTTGTTTCTGCTTTTGTGCTCTGTTCGCATATTTGCAATCATGATTGCTTTTCATTTCTTTTAAAAGATTTATTTATTTATTATGTGTACAGTGTTCTGTCTGTATGTATGCCTACATGCCAGAAGAGGGCACCAGATCTCATTATAGATGGTTGTGAGCCACCATTTTGCTGGGAATTGAACTCAGGACCTCTGAAAGAGCAGACAGTGCACTTAACGTCTGAGCCATCTCTCCAGCCCATGGTTGCCTTTCTTACCCTTCTTAGCAAAAACTGGAGCCAAAAGGCAACCAGAGCAACCTGCTGGCCTCCTTTCTACATGTGGAGTTTTCTGTAACTTAGAAACTGTTACGCTACATTTGAGAAGCGGCCCCTTTGCCCATTTGTGCCATTTTGCTCATAGTCCTCATCAGCATCTTGGCTCTGGGGGCAGCTACAGCCAGGCTGACTAGTTCTGAAGGTTCTGTTCTGTCCTGGCTATGTCATCTCCCTGATCCATGGAATCAGGAGGCCCAGTGGTAGATATGAGGCTAAATTCTAGACTATGTGAGTAATGGGGAAGAGGAAGTACTGTTGCTTCGAGACCTTGCAGTCTTATAAATACTGTCTGGGCTACATACTTTGCTCCCTGTCCTGCTTCTCAGCTCTGTGCCCAGCAGGAGGCAGGCTTCATACAGTAGCGGTAACTACTAACACACCCCCAGATTCCATTGTGGACACTTACCTCGTGTCTCACCAGACTACCCACAGCTCTCCTCATTTTCACTTCATGAATGAAGGGACCAAATTGCAGACCAAGCTAGTAGACTTTGCTTTCAGAGTCTACTCTTGCCTCAAGGCTATGGGCTAGTAGTACAGCTTCTACCCAGAATGAGGTGGGAGGTTTTACCAGAAGTGGAACAAGCCAGTCCTTGCTGGATGTTTCCCAAGGTGGGCTCAGGTGAATTGGTGTTTTACACTCTGGGCACCAGTTTATCAGCTCATCTGCTGCTGTCTACACAGGCGGAAGGTGTTGTACCAGCGTGCACCCAGAAACATCCACCGCCATGTGATACTCTCTGAGATCAAGGAGGCTGTTGCTGCCCTACCCTCGGTAAGAGAGGAATGCTGAAAATGGGGGCTTTGTGTGTGCTAGTCACAGTATAGCTATCTACAAATTGGCCTGCATGCCAGGCAGAGCTGGAGAGCTCTTCCCCTCAGCCAGCTTTTCTGGGCCTTCCTCAGTATTGTTGCCTTAGTGAGCTATTTCACCAGGGCATCATGTTCTCTGTGATGGTGACCGAGCCCTTCCTCACAGACTCCTGCAGCAGCGCTTCACGTAACTGTGTGCCCCCTGCAGCAGAGCCTTGGCTCTGCTTTCACAGATCCTGTGTTTTCTGGTGGCACTCTAAGGAGTGAGCCAAGGCTGGATCAGTTGGTGATCCAGTAGCTCAATGGAACCCAGTGGCTGACCTCCCTAATCCATGGTCTGCAGTCAGGCCAGTTGTTTGTGACTTGAATATAGATGGTGGCAAACCTGTGGAAAATGACCTTTGCCCTACATCCCACTGACTGGGGCAAAATATCATTCATGTTCCCCCTGACTATCCTCTGGGAGAGACTGTTCCACCCAGACCTAGTTTCTTAGCACAGAAATGGCCACTTCTGCCAAGTGTAGTGGCTGCCACCTGGCAGATGGGTCAAGTCTGAGTTGACAGCAGCTAAAGCTTTGGAAGGCCAAGGCTGCCAGCAGTGCTCCAGAATCTCTTATTTTTGTCCCTTCCTAAAGGATGTAACTACACAGTCTGTGATGGGATTTGATCCTCTGCCTCCCCTGGATACCATCTACTCGTACGTCAGACCAGAGAGGTACCTTGCCTGCTTTGTTCTCACACCCACAAACCCTCTTTGGTACTTTGGGGCTCACTGGGACTGCTCTTACAGATTAGGAGGAAAAAGGCAAACACTGGCTAAAAGGACCAATCCACTCAGGAGTAGGGGAAATACAGTGTAACTTGGAGCTTCCACTGAATCCACCAAAGGTCTGACCACTTCCCTTTAGGTTTTGTAGCAGGTGTGGGAAGCAAAATAAGGAGCTACCTCTGGCCTGATGCGCTATACAACAGATATCAAACTTAGAACCTAGACATAGACCTATTTGGTCAAATTTGCTTATGAACCTGTGGGAGAAAATGATAAAGAAGGACATGCCAGACCAGGAAATGAAAGTCACCTGTTTTGTAGAAAGATGTGCCCCAACTAGACAAACTACACTCCTCTTCCAGGAGCAGTGTAAGGTCCAGTGAAGGAAGGCCCATGTGGCTGAAAGAGGAGAATGGGGTAGTGGGTCAAGCATTAATATGGAACATGTCTGATTCACAGGCTGCCGTGTGCATTTGGGCAATTTTTAGAATCTGGGTCATAAAAGAACTCATTTCATTTTCCTCCTAGCCTTCACAGCTGCCATTGCCCCCACGGTCCATTTCAAGAAAGGAGCACAGACCATCTAGACCTTGGCAAAACATGTTGATCAGAGTGATTCACATTTAAGGTTTTAGATTAAGATGAGAATTTTCCGTGGTTTGGGAAGCATCCTGACAGGCTGACATAGCCTAGCTATCATAGCATTCTGCTCTGCTCTTGTAGTCCCCAGAATAGAAGTGTGATGACACTGCAGTAGAGCTGTGCTGCGTCTCCTGAGAGCCCTGACCTCTCCTGCCTGCCTTTATGTGACTGCCTACACCTTCCCCAGACTTCACATGCTGCAGTCACCTTGTCTTCTTTCCATGTGACTCAGCAGGCTAGGTCCCTAAAGAGCCAGCACTCTGGGACACCTTACTTCTCCTTTCCTCATTGCTGTTGGGTGTCCACAGCTCCACCCTAGGCCGATTAGTAGCCATTACTGCCCACCCCAGATCTGACCCAAAGCCTTAGCTCCACTTAGAGGCTGCCTGTCCTTAGCAGTTAGGAGACTAGTTAAGGACAGTTCACAAGGGCTGGGACTCTACAATGTCTGTTGACCTTCATTTTCTGGCCTTTTTTAATTTTCAGACTGAGTCCAGTCAGCCATGGAAACACAATTGCCCTCTTCTTCCGGTCATTATTGCCAAATTACACTACAGAGGTATGTTGATTGAACATATCGGTCTTTCCCTCCCAAGTTGCTATGGGCAAGTCCAGCTCAGGGTGGAGGCAGGAACGGCTGAGACTGTGCCTGCCTGTGGTGCCATGCTTAGGAAGTGGGGACTTAGCCTGCTGAAACTCCAGTAGCTGTTCCAAGGTGAGTAGTGTAAAGCTGAGAGATGGCTCAGCATCGTGGTAGGTTGGCCATGGTTAAACATGTACATTTGGCTTTTTAGAGCTTCTTCTTCTGGGTAGGGACCTTGGGAGGGGACAGGCCCAATATTGGGGCTTGAGCTGCCTCAGACTACTAAACCCCGGGTCTCAAATCTGTACAGACAGCCCCCACTTAGATATGTCTCATTGTTCAGGGGGAGAGGCTGGAGGAAGGAGTGGCCAGGGGTCCGAACCGCAATCAAGGCTTGAACAGGCTGATGTTGGCCGTACGTGACATGATGGCCAACTTCCACTTCAACGACCAGGAGGTGCCTCGGGAGGACAATCCTGAGGGCGAGGGGGACTGGGACTGACTGTCCAGATGCTGTGCCCAGAGCTGTGCAATTATGTTCCTGATTCTTTTCTGGTTGGAATTAACCAGTTCCCTGAAGTAGAAATGCTGACCATGTCATCTACCCGTGTCTTTTGTTTTCCCTCTAAATGTGAGTGGGTTATACTCTGCTATGAGTAAGCTTTTCCTCCAGTGGCCTCAAATATAGTCGAGGAGCAGTGAGCCCCACACCGTATACATCTATTGTGTGCCTCACACTTCCAGAATTTGTAACATATTGCATAGAAAGGGGTTATCCCGGAGTCTTCAGTGTAAGGACCCCACATGCTTCTTGCTAGAGGGCAATGAACCTTCCACACATGCTACACTCAGTATGTTTGCAGTGGTGGGGATCAAACCCAGGGCCTGGCACATGATCTGCCATTGAATGATAGTCCCAGTCTAGGGATTCTATTAGTAAACTCAGAGGTCTGGGGATGTGCAGTTGCACAGAGCTCAGGATTGATCCCCTGCACAGCACAAACCAGGGGTGGTGGTGTTCATCTGTCATCTCAGTACTCAAGAGGTAGGAGAGGGGGACAGGAGGAACTGAAGTTTAAGGTCATCCTCTATTGGTGTTTACAGAGTGTAGTCAGAAATAGGTTGATAAACAGTAGGTTATTGGGGAAAAGTACTCACGCAAGGCAGCCAGTGACCAGGTTTGACCTGAGCAGGATGGACCCTGAAATGCTTCCCAGTCAGCCCAGCCAGGCTAAAGAGAGAGCCCCGTGGTGCGCACCTCTCTCCTACTTAAACCCTTGTTACATAGCTCTTGTTATACGCCCAAGGGGGCGTAGTCAGTGGTACCTCTCTCTCTAGTCAGGATTTCTCCCTACAATCCTCTGCTACATTATAAGTTCAAAGCCAGCCTTAGTTACATGAGACCCCCATCTCAAAATAGGGGGTTGGGGCATGAGGCGCCTGGAATTGAAAGAGACTCTTAAGAAGCAACTTTGAGGCAGTACATTTTCCTAGACGGGTCAGGGATGCTTTACAGAATCCAGGGTATTTGATCTAGGAATGAGTGGGGAGCTGTGACCAAGAGCCCCAGTCCAGTGGCAGGAACAGAGGCCACGGCCAGGCCAGGACAGAGGCCAATGTCTCAAGCTGATTGTGGAAAGATCCAAGCTACTGAGATGTTATAAGCTGTGTCAGGTAGCTCTGGGCATCCCTGCCCATCTCTGCATGTACAAAGCCTGGAGGAGGTACTACCATGGCCTCTAGTCTGAGAGGTGGCCAGTGGGGTCCCTCCTAATTCTTGGTCCATTGATCGCTTCCTAGGAGCTCAGACATTGTTTCAGACGTCACTGGATGCATCTGGTATGGACTAGGTACAGATAAAGCATACTCCAGGAATGTCCTGAGGGCCATCTAAATGGCTCAGTGAGTAAAGGTACTTGCTGCCAAGCCTAATAATCTGTGTTCAATCCCCAGGATCAATATGGTGGATGGAGAGTGCTAACTCCTGAGAGCAAACTCCTGTAGGTTGTCCTCTGACCTCCACACATACATTGCGGCATGTGCACACCTGTACAAACACAGCAAATAAATGAAAAGGGGGCAGCTTGGTGGTTAAAAGTACTTACTGTGCTTGGTGCTTTTGCAGAGGATCAGGGTTTGATTTTAAGCACCCATGGCAAGTAGCTCACAACCGCCCATAATTCTAGCCCTAGCATACAACATATACATGATGTGGCTGAGCAGGGTCCTGGGTCACTGTCCCCTCAGCAGGACATTAAGGGCTGGCTTGTATCCATCTGTAGTCAGCCTAAATGCCACAGCCCATTTCTAAGTTAGCCATTTGCAGGGGGGTTGTATGTTCAACATATGTGCCTGGTGAGAGGTCACATGTCGTATGAATTGGTGCTGCGTCTCTGTTTTTTCTCCAGCATGAATTGGCAAGGCCATGAAGTCTGGATACAGGTTCTACTATTTGTGCTCATGGGTCAGCAGGGGCCTGGGGAGGGCAGGCCTGAGGGGCATAGCCCCACACCAGTTGCCTCACCTGCTCCTGGGTTTGGTGGGAGATCTACACCCAGTCCCAGGGAGGGGTACTGTTGAGATGGTCCTAATTCAATGTCTGAATCCAAGTTGGAGTGGCCTCTGGTGAGTTTCAGCTGAGGGGAGGGGGAATTGTGTTTGTTTTCTGGAAATGACAAGCAAGCACAGAAAACCTGGCATCCTGCCTCTTCCTTTCAGCAGCTGTAAGTCGATCCAGATGAGGATATGGTATCTGGAGCTGCAGCAACTATTCTACAACCACGAGGCAATGAACTCCAAAATGAAGAGCCAGTGTACTAGGAACAGAGAAGCAGAGGATGCCCTAGGCCTTCAGGAAACTTCCCACCTCCAGGCCTGTATCCTGAGAGGCCATTAAATGATCGGCTTCAGAAGTGTTGCTCAGACTTAAGTAATTTTCAACTGAATCCATTTCAAATGGTGATAAATAAAAACCAGTCATTCACGTCATCTGCAGATCATCAGGAAAAGTAACTTTTTGAGACAGAGTCTCAATGTGTAGCCCTCGATGGCCTAGAACTTGCTATGTAGATCAGGCTGGCCTCAGAGATCCGCCTGCCTCCGCCTCCCAAATGTTAGTTAAAAGCGTGCACCACCACACCTAATCTGCATGTCATCTACAGCTTTAAAGTCTGCCCTGCCACCCAGGTGGGAGTGATAGTGTAACCCACTCCTCCCTGGACCCAGTCTCAGCAAGAGGTGCCTGCCTGTGTGCTCCTGTGCAGAATTGTTGGTTATTTGTGTATTTTCATGTAGTCAGGGAGAAAACCTGTTTGCTGTCTCCCACAGAAAGTTCAGAGGAAATGAATGACTTTCAAACAAAGACATGGTGACATAGCCTTTTTACCTTTTATTTTATTATGTGTATAGGTGTTTTGCCTGAATGTGCGTCTGTCTGTGCGCCATGTGCATGTGTTGCCTACAGAAACCAGGAAAGGGCGGACAAAAAGAGCGTTGCATTCCCTGGAACTAGAGTCACAAACAACTCTCTTTTTGGTGGGGGTGGGGGGAGCAGGGGAGGATGGGTTAGAAAGGGTTTTTCTGTGTAGCTCTGGCTGTCCTGGAACTCGTAGACCAGGGTGGTCTCAAATTCAGAGATCACCTGCCTCTGCCTCCCAAGTGCTGGGATTATAGGCGTGCTCCACCACTGCCTGGCTGTCACAAACAATTCTTAGTCACCTTGTGGGAAATCAAACCTGGGTCTTCCAGAAGAACAGCCAGTGCTCTTAACTGCCTAGCCATCTCTTCAGCCCCAGGCATGGGCTTCTTGAGGAGCTGTGCTATCCTCTGTGACCAGAGCCAGAAGGGACATGTTCACACTGCCCAGGCATTTTGGGGATCTCCTAAGGGAAGCCCTGAGCCTCTCCCTGGGCCTCTCCCCGGTGGGTCTGCCTGTTGGAATGCAGGCTGCTCTTTACATCATGGAGAGAGCCCCCTTAACCATTGTGCAGGTAGTGTCCCCTACTAGGTAGGTAGTCACTCCTATGTGCCATTTGTCATGTACTTCTCCCAGAGCCACTGAGAACTCAAACTTGAGGTATACTCAGGCTTGGGGTACTCAGCTTCATCCAATCCAGACAGTACCAAGACTAATTTTGCCATCTCCCCACCACAGCATAGCACAACTGGATTTCCCAGCTCTGCCTTACTGTTTCCTTCTCTGGAGATTCTAGTTGTGTCTTTGTAATTCAAAATGAATCCCAAGGCATGGTCACCTTCCTCTCAACACCCCTCTGCAGAGACTTGCCAGAAAGGATGTGGCTGCCTGTGCCAGAGACTGTCCAGTTTACCCATCCTTTGAAGTCAGGCTGTCTGCAGGGTGAACTGTGGTTGTCTCAAAGACTTCATTCTGAAGCCAGAAACACCAACATCTCTGAAATGTGACAGCACAGGAAGTTAGGGCAGGGGGCACTTGCTCTTTCAAGTCCCAGAAGTGAAAAGTGGCCTGCAGCTACTTTTAGGGTGCCCGGGCATCATGTGGCTTTAGGGGCCAGCCATGGCCCTGCCCACCCCATCAGACCTGGGACCCTTCTCAGCTACAAGCAGAATAAGGCCCATGCTGTAGGAGGCAGACACCTGGGATGAATATGGCAGAGTGAGCTCTTCAGTGAGGCTTGCGACATTCAGTGACTAGAGTCACTTTCTCATCCTGTATACCTGTGACACAGTACACCTGAGGGTGTGAGCACAGTTTGTGAGACAAGCCCCCCAGTTTGAAAGTGGTTTGACCAGATCTGCTAAAGCTGAAGATCGACCTCATGCCTGCATTGTTCCATTGGTAGGTATCATTTAGCATAAGCACATGCGCCTGTGTCTGCCAACGATGTCCTGTAAGATCTTCCAACAGCACTGATCAGGATAAGGTTGGCCACAAGCTGCCAAATATCCAGCACAAGTCATTCACATAATGGACACTAGACAGCCTGAATGCTTTAGTTACCCAAATAACAAAGTGGTTCTTAGTGTGAACAGAGTACAAACTGGAAGATTCCATTTCACGTAATGTTCCAAGGTAGACAAAATTGATATTGCTGAGGCCCAGGAAGGCCCAACGTAACTGGCGTAAGTTGTATTTTACTTATTGATTCGGGAAAGTAGTCCTGGCCACACTCAATTTGGAGCATGCCACTTTTATATTTGTCATTTACTGCAGGGTTAAGTGAAAGCAAAAAGGTAAGTACAAAATGCAGATGTAAGAAATGACTAACATTTGTTAGTGGATGCTCACATACATAGTTAGTGTGTACTTTCACAGTGGCTGTGAAAGGGCTGGGCACCTTATGACCAGAGGTTGTCAGAGTAGGCGAGAGAAAGAACAGACTCAGCTGGAGTGGTGGGCACACCTTTAATATCAGCACTCTGGCAGCAGAGGTAGGCAGATGTGTTTTGGGCCAGCCTGCTCTACCAAGTGAATTCCAGGCCAACCAGAGTTACATAATAGTGAGGCCCTGTCTCAAAAAAAAAAAAAAAAAAAAAAAAAAAAAAAAAAAGAATGGACTTTTAGCACTAGTATCACAAAACTGAAAGTGCATTCCAGCTAATTCCTGCCTCTAACTCCACTGCTGGCTGTCTTCACCTGTATGTGGAAGGGAGCATCTTGTGCTGATGAAATCACACTAGGTTCCATGGAGAAAGTCCGGCAGCAGCTAGACGTGGGTTGGTGCCACCCCTGCCTGCTGTCCTGACCACTGTGAATAGTCACATGCCCAGCTGCTGGCCCGAAGAGGCTGGAGACAGAGGTCTGCCCTGGTGTGGTTCCTGGCTCCAGGGCTGGCATGTGCTCCACAACGGAAACGGGGTTTCTCAAGGGAAGGGTTGTGCCGTGGGGAGAGGAGGGACCCATGAGCATGAGAGTCGATGTGACTAAGGAATGCTGGTGGATGGCCTCAGGATCCCCTCTAGTCAGTCATCTCCCAGGAAGTGGCAAGCTTCCTGCCACACCCAGAACTGTAGCTGAAGGAAACTTTAGCAAACTTGGGGTCTTGAGGGACTTGGAGTGCAACTGGCCCTGCCAGAGCTCATCTGAGCCCATTGGTATAGGGCTCTTGTCTACCTGAGCTCTTCCTATAGTTCCTGCAGTTACCACTGATACTGAAGGTTCTTCTTGGTCGAGCCTTAAATTCAAGCTACCTGGAATCCAGTAGCTGAGTTGGTGACATGTGTACACATCCTGTGTTTCAGAAAGAAGTGTCACTGCCCTTGGCATGCTTCTAGTCGAGAGTGGTGGTGAGGGTGGTGAGAGGGGGTGCCTCTTCCACACCCTGTGATTGCCTGAGGCAGAGCAGCGTGACAGAGGCAGGAGGTTGTGGACAGCTCAAGAAAGTGATTTAGAGATAGGCAAGAAAGTGACTTAGAGATAGGTTTGGAGACTTACATAGGTCCACCCAGGGCAGGTCCTAGTGAAGCTGGATGCCTGAAAGGGATTTGGCGAGTTAACAGGGGCTTTAAACACAAAGGGAGACACAGTACCCTGTACTGGAGTCTAGAGGTAGGTTTTCCAGTTTCTCCGTGCAGCTTATGCCCCCTAGAGGCAGTCCAGGGTGCTGGGGCACATGCCCATCATGTGGCCGCCCTTGGGGGGAGGGGCTCTGGGAATGAGTTAAAAGATTCAGAGAAAGGCTCCATTCTTCCCCCCCCCCCCACCTCAGCCTACCCTTGATTGGGGAGGCAGGGGGCCCAGAAGTTGGGAGGTGCCAAGTTTAGAAATGTCTATCTGAGCCACTTCCTGGGAAGAGGCAGGGAGAGCAGCAGAAGGCTAGACTCTCTCTATCACACTGGTGGTGAGACTCCATGAGCAGAGCTCAGGGCGTTAGCCAAGGAGCGTCTGGATTATGTCTGTGCCATGCCTAAGCTGACCTGTCCAGCCAGAAAGGGCAAGTGTGAAGGAAAATCATAGAGTGCCCAGATGAGAAGAGGCAGGTGTGAGGACCATCAGAGACCCCTGATGACACCATGAGCTGAGTAGGACACAGGACGGCTGATACCACCTGGAGCTGAAGCCTCCACTGACTGCTTCCTACTTCCTGGACAAGACTATGCCCACTCAGGGGCCCCAGAAGAGGCTTCTGGGTTCTCTCAACTCCACTTCCACAGCCACCCCTCACCTTGGACAGGCCACCAACCAGACAGGTCCTTGGTGCCTGCAGGTGTCTATCCCGGATGGCCTCTTCCTCAGCCTGGGGCTGGTGAGTCTGGTGGAGAATGTGCTGGTTGTGATAGCCATCACCAAAAACCGCAACCTGCACTCGCCCATGTATTGCTTCATCTGCTGTCTGGCCCTGTCTGACCTGATGGTGAGTATAAGCATCGTGCTGGAGACTGCTGTCATCTTGCTGCTGGAGGCAGGGGCCCTGGTGACCCGGGCTGCTCTGGTGCAACAACTGGACAATGTCATTGACGTGCTCATCTGCGGCTCCATGGTGTCCAGTCTTTGCTTCCTTGGTGTCATTGCCATAGACCGCTACATCTCCATCTTCTATGCACTGCGTTACCACAGCATTGTGACACTGCCCCGGGCACGACGGGCCATCGTGGGCATCTGGGTGGCCAGCATCTTCTTCAGCACCCTATTTATCACTTACTACAATCACACAGCTGTCCTAATCTGCCTTGTCACTTTCTTCCTAGCCATGCTGGCACTCATGGCAATTCTGTATGTCCACATGCTCACTCGAGCATGCCAGCATGCTCAGGGGATAGCCCAGCTCCACAAGAGGCAGCGCTCCACCCGCCACGGCTTCTGCCTTAAGGGTGCTGCCACCCTTACTATCCTTTTGGGAATTTTCTTTCTATGCTGGGGCCCCTTCTTCCTGCACCTCTCACTCATTGTCCTCTGCCCTCAGCACCCCACCTGCAGCTGCGTCTTTAAGAACTTCAACCTGTTCCTCATTCTCATCATCTTCAGCTCCATCGTTGATCCCCTCATCTATGCTTTTCGAAGCCAGGAGCTCCGCATGACACTCAGGGAGGTGCTGCTGTGCTCATGGTGAGCAGGGAGGTGGCTTTTGGTCTCATGGCCAGGGTGCTAGGCAGAGGGTGACAATGCTATCCAGTGGCCTGTGTCCTGTGAGACCACAGGTACTATATTGTCCCTTCCAGATCTCCATTTGTCCAGGGGTGGACTAGATGAACTTTAAAATAGAAACACAAACTGCCTGGGACCAGGAAAAAGGTGAAATGTGACTGCAGTGGGAAATGGAAGAAGCGGGGGGTGGGGGGTGGGGGGGAGTCTAGGGGTATGCAAGGGTCAGACCACATGCTCCTGAAGAAACAGGAGCCTCCAAAGAGCTTCACCTCTACCCACTGACTGGACAGCCCCCACCCGCTCTTCAGATCACTCAGACTGGGCCCTCTACTACTGGGATGGACAGGAAGTGTCCGAATTGAAAGAATGACAAGAGCCATGAAGGAGTGCTTCTGGTGAGGGCTTCTGAAAGGGGAATTTGTGGCCAGGAAAATCCAGCCATAATCATGCATAGGCTGCTTAAACAAGTGAGGCCCTTCCTCGATAAAAGGACCAGAATTGCAGAATGTGCGTCTTGTACGAGAGATCTGCCCGTCTGCACTGGGGAAGTGGGACTGACCTAAAGACTAGTTGTAGCCTTTAATCCCAGCACTCATCAGATGGGATCCCAGCACCCACTCGGCAGGTGGCTCTTTGTGAGTTTCAGGACAGCCAGGGCTGTTACACAGAGAAACCCTGTCTCGAAAAACAAACAAACAAAAAACCAACAGTTGTATGGCTCATGGGAATCCCAAAAGGTGGGGACCCAACTGCTCACCCCCAACAGGCTATTTCAGCAAGTGCCTCTGGCCTCAGTAGAGGCTGTTGGCCTATTGGTGACCACAGCCTGTAGCTCTGAAATATTAAACTCAGATGGAGTCTCATCACTATCTTCCCTGGCTCTGTCCAGAAGTTGCTTGAAGTTTGTGTGGGAAAAGGGTAGGGAGAGCAGTCCGGATAGGAAGAAGGGAGTCTCAGAAACCTCAGCTGCCTGCCTGAATTAGGAATCCACAGCCTGAAAGCACACCAAGTATCCTCATCAGGCCCTCTTGGCTTCCTCTGTATTACTATAAACTCCAGAACAGAGCAGGGGGCCTCAGGTTCAAAAGCCTCTACTTAGTCTATGGTGACAAGATTGTTGAGTCTCCTCTCAGTTCAGCCATACATTGCAGCAGGACCACAGAGTCTCAGCCCCTGATATGACCCATCGGTAACCTTGGCCAGAGCCTGCCCCTTTGCTGGTCTCATTCCTGTAGCACCTTCAGCCATGGCACAAAATGCTATCATTCTACACTGAGCTACCCTGAGGAGCCTATAGCATAGGATAGGCCAGAGGTTGGGATCTGTTTCTACCCAACACTGCCCTTCTGGGAGGTCGTGGTGGTGGCAGTGCTCTGCCAGCCTTGGGAAGTATTTAGACTAGGTCTCTCAGGATAGAGGAGGATGCCTAGGAGCTTAAGGGTATTTGAGTGTCAGGGTGTGGCACATGGGGTGAACTACAGTTCTTGCTGCTGTGGAATGGGCAGATCCCCAAACTCTTCTACTGCTACAACCTGGAATTCCTACTGCAGAGTCTTTATCTTGGGTCCCCCAAGGATGCTAAGCACTCCACTGTCCTCCTTCCTGGGGTGGCCTTAGTCTGGACTAATGTGCCCTCAACCACCTCTAAGACTGGAAGTGGCATCAAGCCAGACCCTATCCACACTATCAGCTCCAGCCCTGCTGGACTGAGATTGGAAGCTGGTTCCCGGCAGAGCCAGCCTTTGCTGGAAGATAGGACCATGAGTCAGCCTTTATCCTGGCACCATAATTCTCTGGGGACACGGGGAGCTGGCCTAGCCTGATGTCATCTGACAGGGAGGCAGCCCAGACCTCTGGATGTTTCCAAGCATCTTGCCTGTCCAGACAAGGAGACAGAGCCAGGTGCTCACCCAGGACTTCTTGAACCAGGCCAGCTGGAAACCAACTACAGAAAGCCACATCATGGACACGTTGTGGGGGAGGGGCATGTCTTGAGAACAAAAGACCCATTTCTAAACTCAGCTAACTCAGAAGCTTATCCTCGACAAGAGTTGTGTGCACAGCCACTCTATCCAGCACACCCATGCAAACTGGACAAAGGCACCAGCAAATTGTTTTTAGCTGCTCTTGTGAAATGAGTGTTTTTTGGACCATCCATGCATGGTAGTACTGTCTTAATCTTCCAGAAGAATTTCTGTCATTGAAATATCAAAAGGTCCTCCTAAGGTGCCGCTGACCCTAGATGAATATTAAATCAGTGTTGTATGTGAACACATTGCATGTCCTCTTCTGACCATTTGACTCTTCCTCCCAATGGGCCCCCGTCACACACAGTCTCCTTACCTAGGTAGCTCCAGCTCACTCCATGCCCCCTCTTCACACCCTCACTTGTACCAAAAGTGAAAGGGAGGGGGTATCAATGACGGCAGGGATGGTTCAGACAGGAAACACTGCTCAGTGTCTTCCCCTGACTGGCTTGTATGTCCGTATGTGAATTGTCCACGCTGATATTCATGAAGCAGGGTTACTTGCCAGGTGCTGTGTATCCTCGCATCCCAGGTACACCTGCACCCTCAGGCCAGCCCTTTGTGGAGCAATCGGCTGGTAGCCCTCTGTCGTCCAGAAAACAGTGACCTCAGAATTGGAGCTATAATCCACCACCCTCCTGACTTGCATTCCCAGGTCTGCACATAAGTATCAGGGAGGCTCCAGCTTTCTCAGCCTCCTCCACCCCTAGGGACCCAGCAAACTCAGAGAATATGGGTCTTGATTCTTAAGCACATGAGAGTAAGAAAGACCCTTCTCACAAAGCTGCAGGGTGGGGATGGGGCAGGGACGACATGAGGAGGGCAGCTATAGGGTGGGGCACTGAGGGGCCTGAGCTCTATTGTCCCCAGAGCCGAAGGCCCTCCTCCGAAGGCGCGGCCAGACATGCTCCGCATTGTGCGGGCGGATCTCGATGCGTGGTGCTGATGCTGCAGAGCCTGCCGCATTCTGCGGCGGCGCCCCAGCATTGGTCCGCAGCGCTGACATCAGCTAGCGAAGGCGGGGCAGCCTCTTATAAGAGGGCACGGCAGAGGCCACCGATCCTCCGCAGCCCGCTGTCCGCCTGCTTCTCAACTCTAGCCGTTTGAAGTCAGCATGAGGGAGATCGTGCACATCCAGGCCGGCCAGTGCGGCAACCAGATAGGGGCCAAGGTGAGGCTGAGCCGTCCGGCGTCCTGCGTCCCCACGAGCGCCAGCCCCAGTGGGGCGGGGGGTGGGGGGTGGGGAAGAGAGAGGCTGTTCTGGGAGCTGCCGGAGGAACAAAGGGAAGAGCCCCAGCCCCTTGCCCGGCTCCTGGGACCCCGGGATCCCTAATCAGCTCCCCTCACTCGCCTCGCTCTGCTCCGCGCCCAGGTTGCGTGGACAGCTAGGGGCAACCCTTCTGATTCTTACTTCCATCCATTCTGCTCACCCCCACACACCATGGCTCCAGCAGGTACAGAGGATATGGTTGGGGGCGCCTACTGGGCGTGGCCTTCTTTGAGACAGCCACTTAAGCCTTGAGTAAGATGGGTGTGTCGGGCAACTTTGGGTGGGGCTCTCCCCTAAAGCCATAATGACTGTACATGCCCGAACCCCCACTGGAGAATAGGACGTCTTCAAGGAGCCAGGCCGCCCTCACATCGTCAGCCTTGCTCAGATCACCCTCAGCTTCCTTGCCCCACCCTGTTCCTTTGTTGGAGGGGTTAGGCCTGGACTCGGATGACCTTGGTCCAGAACTGAACTCTCCCAGCTGTGCAAATCTCCCATCTCTAACTGTGCCCTCCCAAGGCCTCCCAGTAGGGACTGAGCGCAGAACAAAGCCGACTGCAAGGATAGCCTCTATTTCCCCGCTACTGTCAGCCCACCTCCAGGTGTAGAGCTGAGGAAAAAAAAATGGGGGGGGGGGGTGTTGGTGCAGTGACAATACATCCCTGCTATGATTAGTGAGGTAGCTGTCCTGTTTCCTAGTCCTAGGAGGCTGTTTCTTACTCAAGGTCACACAGCAAGTGGAAGATAGAACCACTTGATCCCTGCAGAAGCCCAATCTGGAGCTGGGTTGGGTCTGAGTGGGTGGGGTCAGCTGCCTCATTCTTCCTTCTGAACTATTGTTTAAGCCCCATATTTGAGATGGAGCTTTGTCCAGATGGATGCTGGACATAGCTCAGGGATGGTGTATAGTTAGTTCCCAAAGGAGGAGGTGGGGTAGACAGGTCCTGGAAGGGAGGGGACGAAGCAAAGATTACCTCTGGAGGCTGTTACCATAGAAACCAGGCAGGAACAAAAAGCTAATTATCATGGGCTGGGGCAGTCACGTGGCTGACATGTAAATTGCAAGTTTGGCTCTAGGGTGGAGGTTCCTTTAGTTAGGGGGGAGGGAAGCAGCACTAGGGAGGCGCCCTAATCACAGAGGAGACAGCTGTTCCTATTCTGGAGGGGAACGTGGGGAGGGGGGCATACAGGGGAAGCTAAGGCAGGAGCCTCAGATCAAATCAGGACTCCTGGGGTAATCACTGACAGCTGCCCTGGCCTGAAGGGAGGGTGAGGGCTCATTAATGTGGTCACAGGTGCCAGGCCTTCCCTGAACATCTGCTCCTGCAAAGGCGCCGGAGTGGGGGGGGGATGGGGGGTGGGAGGATCTTAAGGCCTATTTGGTGACCCTCCTGTGCTGGAACTGATGCTGTACTGTGCTCCTACAAGGGCTTCTGTTTAGCAAGGTCCTAGAAGTCAGGTCCACACCCAGGCCCTGTCTGTTGGAGGAGTTTGAGCTGTGGAAGAGGCCTGAGTGCTGGACTCAGCTGAGGTTTGTTCTGTTTCTCAGCACTATGGCCCTTAGGTTTCCCCTTTTTTATTCTTTTGGGGATTTTGGTGTTTCTTTTTTTTTATTTGTTTGTTTGTTTTTTAATTTAGATGTGTGTAAATTTTTGAATACCTGATCCTTTTTTAACAATGCAAATAATGAGTAAATTATCTGGGGAGGGGTGTCTTCCTTTTCCATTGTTTCCCTTCATAGTAATCAATACAAGGCATTTTAGCAGTTTCCATCCAGCCCTCTGCCCTAGAAGATCTCCTAGAGACCAGACTGAAGGGCCAGGCCCCATGGGGATTTACCTGCTTAGCATCTGCCCCAGGCACTATGAACTTCCTTGGCCAGATTTACTTCCTATTTTTGTAGCTGGCTTTAGGGTCTCTGGTGTGAGCTGCAGTGGGGAAAGTTTTTCCCTGCCACCTGCAGGAACTGAGAGAGTGGCTACGGAGGGTTGCTTTTTTTGCTTATTGGTCCTTGGGTAGTGCCTATCTTAGCACAAAGGGCCACAGGCTTTGGAGAGGTGACTGGGTAGAGGTGTGGGTGGAGTGGAGACAGGAAGAGAAGTGTGAGGCCAGGTGGAAATGCTTGGAAACAGCAGAAGCGGTGCATTAGCTATGCAGTGTTATCACCTCCCGAGAGTTAAATCCCTGGGTCTGGTGCCGTTATTACACCTCGTGAAGAGCGTGGTGTGGGTATCACCTTCCCTTAAGGCTGAGAAAGATGAAAGTTCTAGAAGTTGAGTCACTTGCCTTGGATCACACCATGGATTTGAGCAAGGCAGGAATTTTAGTATAGGTGTGTGCAGATGTGTCCATGTGGGTGTTGACATGTACCCCCATCAAAAGGAGCAGATGTGACTGGGCTATCCTTATTGTTCCCTTTTCTGGGGCCTGAGAGCCTAGATTCATTCTCCTATAAAGGAGTCCCTTAGAAAATGTCTTTATGGTGCCTTTGTCTACACTTCTTGTCTGTGCCCCATCAGCTGCCTAATGCCACCTGCCCCCAAGCAGGAGCCTTTGGAGGGTGTGACCCACCTGAGAGCTAATGGTCCTGGTGAGGAGGGTACTTAGAGTTCCAGGAGAATTGAACATCTTTGGGGGCTCTTGGAAGCTCTCTTCGGGAGCCATGCATCACAACTCTGCTTGCACTCATGTTCCACTACCCTGAGGCCTACACCCCAAGTGGGTCAGCACCTCGGACAGCAGCACTGTGGTTTGAGGGCTGGAACCTGGGGTCTAAGAGAGGCTGAATCAGGGTGGGTTTAGATTGGGTTCACAACACCTGGTGGTTTTCTTTTCTACAGTGATGCTACTTAATTTAAATAATTATATTCATTTAATTTAAATAATTATATAAATTTTCTTATTTTCTATGTAGTAATATTTTCATACTAGGTTTTATTTTATTTGTGTTATTTTATGTTAGCCTCTCAATATGTAGCCCAGACTGGCCTTGAACTCATGATCCTCTAGCCTCAGCCTTCTAAGTACTGGGTTTACAGCTCTATACCATTGAAGCCGGGAATATTTTATTTTGAATTTCATTTTATTACTTTTAATTTACAGAATCAATTGTTGATATATTTTTTCAAGGAAAAATTGAAGCACAGGCTGGAGATGTAGCTCAGTGTTAAAATGTTTGTTTCTTTAGCATGTAAGAGGCCTTTAAGTTTGATCTCCAGCAGAGTGAACAAAGCAAAAACTGAAATGCTCCAAGAACTGAGCATGCTATTGCACACCCACACACAGTGCCAGCACTGCAGAGGCTGAGGCAGGAAGATTGTTAAGATTGTTTCAGCTTGGGTCACATATCAAGAACATTGTTTCGTTTTTTTGTTTGTTTGTTTTTCTGTGTAGCCCTAGCTGCCCTGGAACTTACTTTGTAGACCAGGCTGGCCTCAAACTCAGAGATCTGCCTGCCTCTGCCTCCCAAGTGCTGGGATTAAAGGCATGCATCACCACTGCTCAGCAAGACCTTGTTTATAATAAATAATAATAATAATAATAATAATAATAATAATAATAAAACAAAATAAGACCTGCAGATAAGGTAACCTATCTTTTTTTTTAATTTTTATTTGTGTGTGTGTGTGTACATGCCTGGTGCAAATAGAGGTCAGAAGAGGGCATCATCAGACTTCTGAAACTGGAGGTACAAATGGTTGTGAGCTACCATGTGGGTGATGCTTGGAACTGAAATTGAGTCTCTCTCTCTCTCTCTCTCTCTCTCTCTCTCTCTCTCTAGATTTATTTATTATATATAGTGTTCTGTCTGTATGTATACCTGCTGGCCAGAAGAGGGCACCAGATCTCTTTACAGATGGTTGTGAGCCACCATGTGGTTGCTGGGAATTCAACTCAGGACCTCTGGAAGAGCCGTCAGTGTTCTTCACCTCTGAGCCATCTCTCCAGCCCTTCTTATTTATTTGTTTTATTTTATTTATGTATTTGGTTTTTTGAGACAGGATTTCTCCGTATAGTCCTGCTGAATTTGAGTCTTCTATAAGAACAGCCATGTTCTCCAGCCTCATTGTTTTAAATTAAAAATTAGTATAGCTGGGTCAGTGGCTCCCACCTTTAATCCCAGTTCTGGGGAGGCAGAGGCAGGTGGATCTTTGAGTCCAAGGCCAGTCAGACTAGACTGAGTGAACTCCAGGACTGCCAAGACTACACAGAAAATCCTGTCTTGAAAAAATAAATAAATAAATAAATAAATAAATAAATAAAAGCTAATGTGCACATGACGAAAGTCCAGTGTCACCAAAGGGTAGACAGTTAAAATTCTTTTTCTCTCAGCCCCAAGACCATGTCCCCAGGATGTCTCTGACATCCAAATATAGACAAGCACATGCAGACTGTTTTCTAACCTGCTTTCCACGTTTATCAATCTTTTTCTCCACGTGTCTCCCAGGTAGAGGCCTTTTGTAACAAATAGGCAATGATGGAGGGTCTCACAGCCAAAGAGGCTGTTGCTGGCCTGGTAACCCGTGTGCCCTGGTGAAGTGTTTTCCTGTCTATAGGCCTTGTATTCCCTGGGCCCCAGGACTATATACAGTGGTGATTATCTGCCACAGCTGCTTGTATGCCCCTTGTAGATTAACTGTGTTCTCACAAGAACCTGTTGTCATAGAGACAGCCCATTGTACAGAGACACCACAGCACAGCAAGCCCTTGTGGGGCAACTGTGAACTCTGAATCTTAGACCATGCTCTGTGCTGCCTTGCCCTGCTGAAGTGAGGGTGGTGGTGGTGAGCATTGCGATCTTGTGCAAGGGGCTCACTACTGAGTGTAACAGCTTGTAAGCTGATATTCCTGGGTGTTGCCAGGCTCCTAGATAAGGTACATGACCTCAGACAAACCATTATGCTGCTGGAGATTCCTGGGGCTCTTCTGCAGATCCAGTTGTGGGTCACACTGCCTGAGACCAGCGATATACCAGGCACCAATGGAACCTGACAGTGTGCATGGCTTGCACTGGCACTGAGGGTCACATGTAGTGACTGAGAACCTGATGCTGGATCTGGCCTGTGTCCTGCTCTACCAGCAGCTCTGGGCAACTTTCTACCCTTTGGGTGCCTCCAGTTCCTTTCTTGAAAAGAAAGAATAAAAAGAACCCCAGGAGATATCTGCATTTCCCTACAGGTGCAGAGCTGGCTAGAACCTGTTGGTGTGGGCTGAATCCTAGTCACCCTGGGGGCCTAGCAATGTTAGCCAGATAATGCAGAGTAGGTATGCATTTTTATTCTTTTCTAAAGCCTTATGTTGAGTCTAGTAGGGTCCCAAAGTTCTACTTGTGCACCGAGGGCTTTAAGATTTCAGAAGAGAAAAGGCCTAGTAGGATCACAAGTGCCCGCTGAACTCTTTTCTTCTGTCCTCAAACAGTTCTGGGAAGTCATCAGTGATGAGCACGGCATAGACCCCAGTGGGAACTATGTGGGAGACTCAGACCTACAGCTGGAACGCATCAGCGTGTACTACAATGAGGCCTCTTGTGAGTACCACTTCACATCCATCCTGACCCTGGCAAGAAGGGCCCCTGGGTAAATTGAGTCCTAACAGCCATTGACCAAGAGGCTAGCAGGTATGACTGGAAATGAGACACACTATAAAGAGTTAATACCATGGAGTAAGATGTAAGTACATTTAATGATGGTGGTGGTTTTGAGTAGTCCGGTGATAGACAGGACTTGATCCTAGAGCAGTCATCACACCCATGGCCAAGCCTGCGCTTACCCTGTGTCCATGCCTATAATACAAGTTCCAAAGCTGGGTGGTGGTGGTGCATGCCTTTAATCCCAGAGCTTGGGAGGCAGAGGCAGTGGATCTCAATGAGATCGAGGTCTGGTCCACAAAGTTGAGTTCCAGGACAGCCAGAACTGTTACACAAAGAAGCCCTGTCTCAAAAAAAAAAAAAAAAAAAAAAAAAAGTTCCAGCTCTTAGGGTGAGAGCAGGAGACTGGCAGGCTGAGGGCAGGATTCTGGGGGAAGCAGATAGATTCCCCTGACTCTTTAACTCACACCACTGAATCCTCTCTCCTCTCAGCTCACAAATATGTGCCCAGAGCCATTCTGGTGGACCTGGAACCTGGAACCATGGATAGTGTGCGGTCTGGGGCCTTTGGGCACCTATTCAGGCCTGACAACTTTATCTTTGGTAAGTTCCTCTGCTCCAGGCTCTGATGACAGAAACTCGGGCCTGGCAAACCCAGGTCAACAGAGGCAGAGTGTAGGGAGTAACCCTAGCCCCGCCCAATAGTCCTGGGGCAGGTACCAGGTGGACCTGGGGACTCGCCCATAAGGGCGGGGTGAAGGAAAGCCGGCATGACGTAAGGGGGGCTTCTTAAAAGGCTGCACGTGGGGACCGCGCGCTCTCTTTTTTCTGGCTGCGCTGGCTGGGTTCTTAACCTAGCTCTGGCCTGTGTTTCACCCGGCTGTGCTTGGAATAAAGAGACTTTAATCCAATAGCAGAGTGCCTAAAAGGGGATGAAGTCAACTATTCTTCACTGGGACCTGGAGGGTGAAAATGACTTTCCATTTTACTATGAGAATTGGAGGTCCAGATGAAGGATTCTGTGTAAGAAATAATCCCTCTCAACATTTTACAAAGAATGCGGACAAAAGTGGGGTCTTGGGAGGGCTCCACTTTATGAGCATGTGTCAAGAGGTCAGGATCCTTGAGTCTGTGCCCAGTGACAGATCCTCAGTGCTTGACACAGGAAGACAGTCTCACCTCACTTCTGCTTTCAAGACCTTGAGCCAGTAAAATGGCTCAGCAGGTAAAGGGACTTGCCGTCAAACTTGGTGATCTGAGTTCCATCCCTGGGACCCAGGTGGTTGAAAGAGAGAACCAACTCCTGTAAGCTGTCTTCTGACTGTCACATGTGTGCCGTGGCACGTGCACATCCACACATGTCCATATTCTCTCTTTTTAAAGAAACAAATGTGTTGTTTTTAAAGCACTAGACTCGTTGGTGCCAGTTCTTAGCCAGACCCCAGCCACAATAGATGCTCGGAGTTTCTTTTTATTCTGAACAAGAGGAGTATTTGGCTTAGAGGAGTGAGGGGAGTAAGCAAAGTGGCTGAATAAAGGACAGCCTTTATCTCCCTTCAGCAGACCAGTTGGAGGAAAGGTGAGCCTGAGAGGGAAACCTGGCCTTATCCCAGATGCTCCCTGCCCTGTTCGCAGCTCCTGCAGCTGAGATGCCCACAACTCAACTATGCAGCTCAGGTGGAATGAGGAGGTGTATTAGCACAGTGTACATTTTATAGACCACAGGGGAACCACCCTTCTTCTAGGGTGCTTGGCAGGTCCTAGAGGTCTATACTGTAGACCCTTGAACGTTCCTATCACCTGCCTCTTCTGTCTCTATAGGTCAGAGTGGCGCTGGCAACAACTGGGCCAAAGGGCACTACACTGAGGGCGCAGAGCTGGTGGACTCAGTCCTGGATGTTGTGCGGAAGGAGTGTGAGAATTGCGACTGCCTGCAGGGCTTCCAGCTGACACACTCACTGGGTGGGGGCACAGGCTCAGGCATGGGCACACTGCTCATCAGCAAGGTGCGTGAGGAATACCCTGACCGCATCATGAACACCTTCAGCGTGGTGCCCTCACCCAAAGTGTCCGACACTGTGGTGGAACCCTACAATGCCACTCTGTCCATCCACCAGCTTGTGGAGAACACTGATGAGACCTACTGTATCGACAACGAGGCCCTCTACGACATCTGCTTCCGCACCCTCAAGCTGGCCACACCCACCTATGGGGACCTCAACCACCTTGTGTCTGCCACCATGAGCGGGGTGACCACCTCCCTCCGATTCCCTGGTCAACTCAATGCTGACCTCCGCAAGCTGGCTGTCAACATGGTGCCCTTCCCTCGCTTGCATTTCTTCATGCCTGGCTTTGCCCCACTTACAGCCCGGGGCAGCCAGCAATACCGTGCCCTGACAGTGCCTGAGCTCACCCAGCAGATGTTCGATGCCAAGAATATGATGGCCGCCTGTGACCCACGCCATGGCCGTTACCTGACAGTGGCTACTGTCTTCCGTGGGCGCATGTCCATGAAGGAGGTGGATGAGCAGATGCTGGCCATCCAGAGTAAGAACAGTAGTTACTTTGTGGAGTGGATCCCCAACAACGTCAAGGTAGCAGTGTGTGATATCCCACCCCGTGGGCTCAAGATGTCATCCACCTTCATTGGCAACAGCACAGCCATCCAGGAGCTGTTCAAACGCATCTCAGAGCAGTTTACAGCCATGTTCCGGCGCAAGGCCTTCCTTCACTGGTACACAGGCGAGGGTATGGATGAGATGGAGTTCACGGAGGCTGAGAGCAACATGAATGACCTGGTATCTGAGTACCAGCAATACCAGGATGCCACAGCGGAGGAGGAGGGTGAAATGTATGAAGATGATGATGAGGAATCTGAAGCCCAGGGGCCCAAGTGAAGTTGCTCACAGCTGGGGTGTGGGGCCAAGTGGCAGCCAGGGCCAAGACAAGCAGCGTCTGTCCCCCAGAGCCATCTAGCTACTGACACTGCCCCTAGCTTTGCTTCCCACCAGCTCATTAGGGCACCCTAGGGCTACCAGGTGAAAGTCCTTCAGTATTTATGGCCGTCCCCCGCTCCACATGAGTCCACTTGGCTCTGTCTTCCCCATTTAAGCAACCTCTGTATTTGTGTTGCTCATTTGTCTCTGTTTTATTATGGCTCCAGGCCCGATGTTTTATGGTTTGTTTTGTTTTGTTTTTTACTGGGTTGTGTTTATATTTGGAGGGGGTATACTTAATAAAGTCACTGCTGTCAGATCTCTGCCTGGTATTGGAGAGTTCTTTTTCTTTGCCTTTGTCTGCCCCTCTTTCTTTCTTTCTTTTTCTTTCTTTCTTTCTTTCTCTTTCTCTCTCTCTCTCTCTCTCTCTCTCTCTCTCTCTCTCTCTCTCTCTTTTTTTTGGTTTTTCGAGACAGGGTTTCTCTGTGGCTTTTGGAGGCTGTCCTGGAACTAGCTCTTATAGACCAGGCTGGTCTCGACCTCCTGCCTCTGCCTCCCTAGTGCTGGGATTAAAGGCGTGTGCCACCACCACTGCCTGGCTCTTTCTTTCTTTCTTTCTTTCTTTCTTTCTTTCTTTCTTTTTTTAAGATAGGATCAGGCTGAAGCATGTTTTATACAATTAAGGTTTTTTGGGGGGAAAGAGTAATTTAGATTGAGAAGGGAAGAGAACAAGTAGGAGCAACCCTTATCTCCTGGTCTGGTGCTAAGGTTTGTGCTAAAAGGGTCTCATGTTGCATCCCAGAGAGTCAAGGAGGGGAACTAGAGAAGGAAATTTTCTTGGTTTAAACTCCCATCCAAGAACCCCTAGCACATCTCTTGTGACTCAGAAAGCAGCTCTTCCTGTCTCCCACAGGGTAGAGACTCCCTTCCTATCTCCCGCAGGGTGGTGTCCCTGTTCCTGGTCTCCCACAGGGTGGGGGGAAGGGCTCATCTTCAACTTTCTTCCTGCTGTCTATGCTGCAAGTCAAGTGTAAGTAACCATATAAGAAGCTGAAGCCTGAAACTTGAACTGGGGAGACAGGGAACGGAAAACTGTTGGGAAGGCTGGGACTTGGCCTTTGAGAAGGCACTAGCTGGGGGCAGAATCCAAACATACACTGGTCCCATAGCTTCAGAATGCCCAGTATCCAATCCAGTCACACAGAAAGTGTGCCATTGCCAGAGATCCTTGCCCAGCATTCTCTGTCCTCCTCAGGGAGAAGACTGAAACCCAGAAAGGTCAACTGTTACAGAGGTCCACAGTGAGTGTGCACAAGTGGGTGAAGGCAGAACTTCTGAACTGAGCCTCTCTGTCACCCATTCCCTTATGGTCAAGGGTGTTTTTTTTTTTTTTTTTTTTTTTTTTAAGACAGGGTTTCTTTGTGGCTTTGAAGGCTGTCCTGGAACTAGCTCTTGTAGACCAGGCTGTTCTCCAACTCACAGAGATCTGCCCATCTCTGCCTCCCGAGTGCTGGGACTAAAGGCATGTGCCACCAACGCCCGGCTAGGTTAAGGGTGTTCTTTTTGTTTTTGGTTTTTCGAGACAGGGTTTCTCTGTGTAGCTTTGGAGCCTATCCTGGCACTCGCTCTGGAGACCAGGCTGGCCTCGAACTCACAGAGATCCTCCTGCCTCTGCCTCCCGAGTACTAGGATTAAAGGCATGCACTACCAACACCTGGCTTGGTTAAGGGTGTTCTTAAAGCTTAAGCCCCTACCCTCTGCTTGGTAGCACCCAGAAAGAATATGGTGTACACAGTACCTTTTCACAACCTGTGTCAGCCATAGGTACTGAAGAAGATAGACTGAGGAGCTGCTAACCCTGGCTTCAGACTAGGCCTGCTGCTCCTAAAAGGGTAACATGTCTCCAGTTCCCATGTAGGCTGGATTCTAGAGTTCAACCAGGGTAAGTAAAGAAAGGGCATCACTGTGCTGTCTCAGCTGTGGCTGTGAAACAAACTTTCCTGAAACTTAGTGAGTGACCTGACCTGAAATCTAAATTAACAATTTATTCTGTGTTAATTTTGTTTGTTTGTTTTTGAGATAGGGTCTCTTTACATCACCCTGGTTGTCCTGGAATTCACTATGTAAACCAGGCTGGCCTTGAACTCACAGAGATCAACCTGCCTCTGCCTCCCAAGTGCTGGAATTAAAGACTGGCAGTTAAATTATGTTTTACTTCCTGTGTTGTTGGTTGGAATAACTGTAAGGTCCAACATTTCACTTGTGGTCCTTTGCTGGGATGCAACCAAAATTGTGAGTCTCTTTTCTCTGTGGAGGCCTGTGCCCAGCTACATAGTCTTTCCGATGTGTGGTGGTCGTCTCCTTGGGCTTCTGTTCTAATTACGAAGTGAATGTCTTTGCTCTATCTACTATGCACTCCCTAGCATGATAGGAGGAGCAAAACACAACAGGTCTACAAGAACATGGGATGCGCCTCCAGAACTGAGCAAAATACGCAGTTCCTCCTTACCAGTTGGCTATATCAGGTATTTTGTTAGAGTAATGGAAAACTGAAGGGCATAACCACTTTCATAGAAGTGATGCTCTAGAGGTTAGGGCAGAAAAAGACTCCTGCTTGGTTCTCAGAGAAGGCACTATGCTGGTGGAAGCCCACACACCTGAAGAAGCAGCATGTGGGTGTTCACTCATCTTTAGGTGACTTCAACCTGAGCCACCCACTGCCCCCAGGCAGGAGCAAGAATGTGCATAGAGCATTGGCATTTAGTGTCCCTATCTACAGCAAAAGTACACCTCCTATCAGGTGCCAGTCACATCCTGAGACCTTGTGTATACACTAGGGGCTTCTATTTCAAGCCAGTAGGCATTTGGGTGATCTGTTATGTAGCATAGATAGTGGACTGTGAAATTTCTGGTCTGCTTGACCTTGGAGTTCAGTCTGCCAGCACCCTTGGTGTTCTTAAGCAAAAAGGTGGGGCAAGTCTAGAGATCAGCCCAAAGTTCATGTACAACCACTAAAGGCCAGACACTGCTTTATTTTCTCTCCCAATGGTGAGTGTAGTAGAAATGGCAAGTAGCAAATTCTAGCCTGGAAGCTTCCCATTTATGTCATTTCCAGTGGTAGAGTGATTTAGTGTGGTTAGTTTTTTTTTTTTTTTAATAAAAGAGCAGTGTATAGTGATGCATGTCTTTAATTCCAGTACTTTCAAGACAGAGGCAAGAGGATATCTGTGAGTCAAGTGCGGCAGCCTGGTCTACCTAGGGAGCTCCAGGGCATCCAGGACTATATAGACAGACCCCAATCTCAATAAATAAATAAATAAATGCTGGTACAATAGCACATACCTTTAATCCCAGCACTCTGAGACCTGTCTCAAAAAAAGAAAGAAAGAAAACCGACTAAAGATGTGGCTGCCTTCACTGGGCAGCTGCCCATAGGCAACAGAAAGTGAAAGTGCTATGTGAGCCTAGGCAAAGGGGCTCTAGCAGGAAAGGCTTCAGCAAGCAGAACTGAGCAAACATCAGATTGGTCTTTGTTTCTTAGACAGAGTCTCAGGATGTAGCCCAGGCTGGCCTAGAACTCCCTATGTAGACCAGGCTGGCATTGAACTCACACAGATCTGCGTGTCTGTCTCCCAAATGTTGGAATTAAAGGCATTGCCACTACACTTGGCAGACTGGTCTTTGTACATCCTTATCATGTCATGTGACTGATGCTATAATTGTCCTATTTTGAAAAAGTGACTTTGAGTCACTTTGAGTGTGTGTGCAGTGTGTGTCTGATGGATGTGTGTGTGTGTGTGTGTGTGTGTGTGTGTGTGTGTGTGTGTGTGTGGTTGTACAGGAATGTGTGAAGGCTGGAGGTTGAAGTGTCTTCCTTCATTCTTTAAACACATTTATTTTATTTTGTGTGTATGAGTGTTTTGCCTACATGCATGTGTATGCGCTATGTGTGGGCCCTGCTGCCCTGGAAATCCAGAAGAGAGCATAGAACTCCTGCAACTGAAGTTACAGATGGTTATGAGCTGGCAGGTAGGTGCCAAGAACTGAACCCAGGTCCTCTGGAAGAGCAGCCTGTGCTCCTAACTGCTGAGCCATCCCTCTCTAGCCTCGGTTCTTTCCCACCTTATTTCTTGAGACAGGATCTCTCACTCAACCTGGGACTCAGTCGGTGACTGGCTAGATTGGCTAACCAGTGATTTTTAGGGATCTGTCTGCGTTAGTAGCCCCAGCACTGGGTTATGAACCCATAGAAATGTCAGCTTTTTATGTGGGTTCTGGGGAGCAATTCAGGTCCCTACTTTACCAACTGAGCCATCTCCTAGACAGTGGGCAACTAGCCTGATTTTTAGGTTCTGTTTGGTTATGTGGCCCCTCACTTCATTGGCTGTTGTGTTCTTGTCTGTAGGAGTTTACCCCAGAAAAATGGCTTCTTCCATTTGTTTTGGTTTTTGACAGTCTTACTGTGTTGCTCAGGCTAGTCAAGGGTCCCAGAGTTGATCCTGTCTCCGTTTTCTGATTACTTGCTACTACAGGCAATGATCTTTTTTAGGTTACAAATTAGTGATGCCTTTAGATTTTTGGCTATAAAGAAATAGACTGAGCTGGGCGGTGGTGGCTCATGACTAATCCCAGCATTCAGGAGGCAGAGATAGCAGATCTCTGAGTTCAAGGATAGCCAGGGCTACACAGAGAAACCCTGTCTTGGGAAAGAAAGAAAGAAAGAAAGAAAGAAAGAAAGAAAGAAAGAAAGAAAGAAAGAAAGAAAGAGGCAGGGAGAGAGGCCAGGAGGGAGAGAGGGAGGGAGAAGAAAAGAAAGTGGCCACAACTCCTTGATCAAGACAGAAGCTCCAAATACAGCTGGCAAACATAGAAAGTTTTACAGCCAGGTGGTGGTGGCGCAGGCCTTTAATCCCAGCACTCGGGAGGCTGAGGCAGGCGGATCTCTGTGAGTTCGAG